TCATGCTTTTCATAGTTACAATTGCCTTGTCAAGGCTTATGATTTTCATAGAACTTAATGATCTTTGATATGTATCTCTATCATGCTGTTCATATAGGGAACTTGATAAGGATAATTTGATTGCTTCGCTGAGTCCAATTCAATGAACTTAAGAAAATCTGAGAGTTAATTAGTGCATTCACAATTAATTTGGGGCTTTGTCATTCATACTTTATAGAAAGAGTAACTGGAGATCGATTTGTGTGCATATGTTCCATGTGTGGAGAAGAATCCTCTAGCTATCCCTTAATCCATATTTTATTCACAACTTAGTTGTTTGCTGCTGTCAGTTCTACTTTAGTCTAAATTGTCCAAATTCCCCCCAATCATTGTTCCCTTAACTTAGTTTCCAGTTTAATAAGTTTAATTTGTGTTGATTAGCATCCCTCCTAATTCCCGGAATAGAACGATCCCTACTTACTCGTACTACGATTGCATAATTTATAGGGTTTAATTTGTGCGTTAGTTATTTCTCACGCCACTCACTTTCCATTCTGTTTGTTTTTCAAGTAGGGGAATATTTACATAGGTGACCAATGAACCTTCAAGCCTATGAATAGTTGTGGAGCACTGTGTACTTACAGCCTCTACGATAAGCAGGTGAATGGGGCCGGTGCGTGGCGAATGGAACAGTTCATCAAGCCATTTCTCACCTCAACCCCCTAAATAGGAAGAGGGGTACTTTAGAAATAGGGGCTAATTGCTTCGCACCTGACTATGATAGCCCTCTCGATACCTCATTGGAGCTTTGTAACTAGTGGCCGGTTTCCCGTTGCTAGAGCGTTTTCCCTATGCACGGAGCCCCAACGAGGAAGGTGTTAGTGGTTTATCATTGGGTCAATAATGCTAATCCCTCTTTTTGTGCTACTCCTAGGGCGAGAAGAAGATAAGAAAATGCGAAGCGTTCTCTCCCAACTTGTTTATTTCTAAAGGCTACCCTCTCTCGGCTGGATGTTGGTCCAGCCTACTACAAGGATCCCATATCCAACAACCCAACCTTAAAAAAGGGCATAAAAGCCCTTGTCTAGGTTGGAGCTATGAAGCTTCCCTTATTATTATGAAAAGGTTGTTTACTTCCTTACTTGTTTTGTTAGAGTAAGGTAGCTTGCTTACTTAGTGCTTGCACTAAGGGGAAGGGGCTTTATCGGCTAGTGCGCAGGAGCGCACTTCCGTTTTCCCTTTACTAGTAGGGGGTCCCGTGGTTCCTATGCCACCTCGTTTCCAAGTCCTTTTCTTTTAGTGCTTCGACCCAAAGCGATAGGGTCGAAGCATCTCTTTTCTTTTCTCATTTCCCGTGGTTCCTATCCATTATTTTTTTCATCTCTTTATTTTGCTATTTTCTATGCATCTTTTACTTGACTGTTTGGGTCTTCATTTTGGTTCTATCTTTCTTGTTTGGTTTTTTGCATGGGGGGTGGGCAAGCACTTCCTCTTCCGGCGTCGTCCTCCGGCCCATCGAGCTCGTCCATGCTCCTATCTATACTGCAGCTTTCACTCTACCAACTGAATCCTCATCTATATTTTCATATGAACCTAAACCAATAACTGAATTCTTACTACACGAAGGAGGAATCTAAGAGCATGAGGGCTAACAACGAGAAGGTGAGGTCGTCTCTCCTTCTTTTGTTGGATTGAAAAGGCTTGCCTACCCTTTATTATTGGTCAAGCTGTTTCACTCCTTTAAAGTAGACTATATATAAGGACGTGGGTCCACTAAAGCTAAATAAAGAATCTGCATGGACGTCTGCCTGTCTACTTTAAAAAGTAAGTTAGGCACGAATGGTATACTCTTCTTATATTCAAAACTAGCTTAATTAATCTGAAACTAGCCCTATGCTTTCCTTATCATCTGTAACTAGCTATCGTAGACTGAAAGCCTCGTAAACTGGATAAATAGGCTATCACAGAGGTAAGGAGGTCTAAGCCTATCGGTTAATATTAATCTTTCTTCCCTCCAAATAAGCCAATCTAGGGCCAGTTCCTTAGTTTCAGGAAGTCAAGCAGGAGTGACTAGCCTTCCTTCAAAAGCCAGATGGGTGCCTTCACCTCTGTAATAACCTTTATCTCTAAAGAGATTATTAAGGCAAGGCTCTTTCTCATTGACCATTAGTTCTGTAAAAAAGGAGCATAGCGGCGGGCCCACTCTTTTTCACCTTAAGAAAATTTACTTATAGGCTGTGTTTCTGGGCCCTATGATGGACCTTTAGAATAAATAGGGAAGGGCTTTGAATTAAGCCCGATGTGTGAGACTTAGGATCCAATACGACTTGAGCCCATAAGGATTATGACTAGACCCAAGTTAAAGCAATTGTGTGCAATTCTAAGCCATTCTGAGAGTCATTGGACCCCACGGAGCGATTTATGGATTCAAGTTGCTAGAAGCAGTTTGCCTGTTGCATTTTTAACAAAGTATTTGGGCATTCTAATTAACATAGGGTTTCCAAAGCAAACTACTATATTCTTTCTAAGGCATTGGGCTATGTTCTCTCTCCCATGCTAGCCCATGTGTTTGGGTCCAAGAAATGGGTTTGAGTTTTGGTGCTCCCAAGCAGCCCAAAACTTCCATTCCTTGATCCCTCAATGGGCCTTGCGAATGCTTGTACCCATCCACACCACAACCTTCTCAGCAAGCCCCAGGTAATTTTGTGGCTTGGGCCCACTTAAGCTTGTGGCATGGCTTGGTATTAGAATAGTGGTCATTTGCATGGCATTTATTTATCATGCTTGTGCTTGAGTTTTTATTATGCGTAATAGGCTATAATTAGGCCAAGTAACACTGGATAGGTAGATGAGCGTGATTTTGTAAAGTTGGTATGTTCTTGGCCCTTTTGCATGTGCCTGTTTGGCATGACACGTGGCCCGTGGCTTGCATTGTTGTGTCCTATATATTCTCTTTTGTCCCGATCGGGTTCCCCTTGTGTTCAATTATCCCTGTTGGGCCGATAATAGATCTGGGCCTAGCCCCTTGGATTTTGGGCCTCAACAGCTTTTAAAAGCCAATGTGAAGTGTGGGATGGGCTACCAATTTTGAAACTATTAGCTTCTTTGAGAAACCGGTGCAGCATTTATGCGTGCGGGGAACACTCAGTGGATTGATCCATCAAAGAAGACAAAATAATGGTGTCATTCGGATAGACTTGGGCAATTGAACCGGCGACAAGTCTTTCAGTCATTTGCCAAGTTGGTCCCGTCAGCCTCGTTTGTTACGGAAGATTGTCTTGGCATGAACTATTCTCAGAAATTGTCTTGGCTTGAATTGGCTTAAGTTGAATAACACTTAACTGATGTTTGGTGATGCTTGGATTGAGACTAAATTTAAATTGATTAAAATATCAATAAATAGGATGATATATTTCAACTTCTGTTCTTCTGTACAAGCGTGGGTTAAAATATTCCAAATTTTATTTAATAAGGTTTATTTTTTAGGTTTATACGGGTTTTAAATTTGAGGGCATTTGTGTCTATTTAAATGAGTTTTTTGCTATATTTGAAATATTTTACAAAAACTGACATTTGTGAAATTAAAGATCATTGGTTTTTTTTTTTTTTGGCTCCGTCCCTGGTGTGGATTGCCCCATATCCACCAATTGCTCATCCATGGTGTGTTCAGAACTGTGGGATATGTTGGGGAATTTAAAATTTGCCTTTTAATTAGTTGCATGAATTCTCTAGAATGAGATAAAAATAAGAACATGGACTTCATATATAGCCCTTAGTTTCATTGATATTTTTGTCATAATTTTATAGATTAGTTACCAAACTGAAATGCTTTAGAGGCATTGACCCAAGATCAAGATTCGTGGACCAGATAGTCAAAATATAATGTGGAGGGAAGAAAACGATAAACAGAAAGCGCCTAAATCTTCTGCTGAATTTGCTGTGTAATAGTTCAGCGCAATTAGTGGCATATATGCATGGAATTATTATTTGTTTTGTTGTATACATGCACACAAGGAGAAATGGGCAGGCACCACGTAGACAATGTTGTCAGATCATCAACGGCACACAAGGAGGGGTTGTTGATATTAGAGAATGCAATCGGTTTGAGAGTGTAACCCCTTAATTAGAAGGTAAAACATGTCATAACTAAGAAATTTCTTTGTTTAATATGAACCCTCTTTGTTTTAATACGAATATTTTGACAAAATGCGATGAGAGAGACCAAACAGATGCATAGTTTTGCACCCAAAAAAAAACTTGTTTTGTTTTGTTATATTAATTTGAATTTTAAATTTTTTAATAGCTAAAATTACTAAAATGCACATATTACATCAGCTCAATGAACGGTTTTATAGATAAAAATTGATGGAAGTGGTTAAGTGAGAAAATTTCATCAAATTTTAGAGATTCTGAGGGTTAAGTGAGAAAATTTAACTTCATAGAGTAAAATGGGACCGAGCGCTCGTTTAATGATGAGATAAGACTTTTAGGGGGTAAAATAGTAATTAAGCCTTTTGATGATGAGATAAGACTTCTTCTACTCCATTATTCGCACTTTTAGAATATTTTGAACTTTTTTATCACCCACTAAAATTTTCTAACAGTTGCCAACGAAGTTCGTTTGTTTTCCTCTGTTTTTATGCACAAATCAAAATTGTTTTAGTCTACAATTTTTCCAACACTAACATAATGAAGCTTTTTATTTTATTTTTCTTTGGACTAAGATTTCTCTCTTCCATGCACACTTTCAAACTTGTTTGAGTTTTTTACTCCTCCACTAAAATTTTCCACCAATAACACACCACACCTTTGTCTTTTAAAAAAGATGTGTGTGATAAGATTTGGTCTTCAATTTCCTGCAACACTACATTTGGTCCTTCTTTTGAATTCCGGTAAACGAAACTTGGATTCTTATTTTGACAGAAAAAGCGAAGAAAAAGAAAAAAGAAAATAGAGACAATTTACAGACAATTTACAAACAACAAACACTTGATTTCAGATTTGCTTTGTATTTACGAAGGATGGAGCCTCATGGTAGGCTGATTTTGTTTACCTTCCTTCATGGATTCCTTCTTTTATGCATGAACACACCTCTGGAATCTGCAACTCTACCTAGTTGTAATACTTTGGAAATGAAACTGATCGTCTGGCGCTGCTGGACTTGAAGAAAAGAATCACTCAAGATCCTCTCCATGTCATGAGCTCATGGAATGATTCCCTTCATTTCTGCAATTGGGTTGGCGTTACATGCAACCGTTGCACCAAAAGAGTTGTGATTTGAAGCTGACTGCTCAAAAAATTGGCAGGCTCCTTACCAAAATCTATAGGAAATCTTTCTCACCTTACCGGAATCGACCTGAGGAACAACAGCTTTGCTGGTGAAATTCCTCAAGAAATAGGTCGTCTTGGAAGCCTGCGATCTCTCAACCTGTCTCGGAATTCCTTTGGCGGCAAAATTCCAAGTAATATATCTCACTGTGCACAACTAAGAGCGCTTCGTTTGGCTCACAATGAGCTTATTGGATCCATTCCGAACCAACTCAGTTCATTGGTGAATTTATATTATGTATCTGCTACTCGTAACAATCTCACTGGAGCAATCCCAAATTGGATAGGAAACTTTTCTTATTTGCATAGTCTTTATCTTACCGAAAACAATTTTCGAGGAAGCATACCAAATGAGCTCGGGCGTCTGACACGCTTGGCGGAATTTGCAATTCATTGAATAATCTGTTTGGTATTGTCCCTTCTTCAATCTATAATATTTCTTCCATTACAACTTTCGATGTTACTGGGAACCAGCTGCATGGAGAGCTACCACCAAATGTTGGCATTAGTCTTCCCAATCTCGAAGTTTTTTCATGTGGTATGAACAACTTCACAGGAGCTATTCCTGCGTCGTGGTCAAATTCTTCGAGACTTCAGAAGCTTGATTGTTCGTGGAAATGGTTTGACCGGGACACTCCCTGCTGAAAATCTTGGAAGGTTGCGAAGCTTAGTTTGGATAAACTTCAGTCGCAATAGACTGGGAAGTGGGAAAGCTGGTGACTTGAATTTTCTCAGCTTCTTGGCTAATTGTACTGGCCTAGAGAACTTGGGTCTGGACCATAACCATTTTGGAGGAGAATTGCCAAGGTCCATAGCCAACCTATCTACCCAACTAAAATATCTTTATTTGGGGGGAAATTTTATACATGGAAGCATCCCTGAAGGCATTGGGAATCTTACAAGCTTGGCCCTTCTTGGAATGGAGGACAACTATTTCAGTGGTAGTGTCCCTGATGCCATTGGGAAGCTTCAAAAGTTACAGGGATTGCATATGGATGTTAACAAATTTTCTGGGCCAATACCGTCCTCCCTAGGTAACTTGACTTCATTGATAACGGTATTCATGGACGAGAATAGGTTTGAGGGAAGTATACCTCCAAGTCTTGGGAACTGCCAAAGTCTACTCACACTTGACGTTTCTAATAACCGTCTAACAGGCACCATACCTAGAGAGCTTTTTGCGATTTCATCCCTTTCAATTTCTTTGAGAATTTCTAACAATTCTTTGACTGGTTCGTTACCATCTGAAGTGGGTGAATTGGTGAATCTTGTGGAGCTGGATGTGTCAGGAAATAAGTTATCAGGTGAAATCCCAACAACTCTAGGCGGTTGTATTATGTTGGAGCGCCTGTATATGCAAGGTAATGAATTTGAAAGAACAATTCCTGACTCTCTTAAAGGTTTAAGAAGCTTGGAAGTAATGGATATTTCACACAACAACTTATCCGGGGAGATTCCTAAACTTTTAGAAAAGCTCAGGTTTCTTAAGTATCTCAATCTTTCTTATAATGATTTTGAAGGTGAATTGCCTAAAGAAGGGATCTTTTCAAATGCAAGTGGTCTCTCAATTATTGGAAACAATAGGGTCTGTGGTGGTCTCCCAAAATTACTTTTACATGCATGCTCCATCAAAAAGTCCAATTCATCATCTCATCGACTACTTGCCCCAAAGGTAATCATCCTTGTAGCTTGTGCAGTTGCATGCATAATTGCTCTGTCATGCTTCATTGTTGCTCGTTCGAAGGTGAAAAAGTCAAGAGGTGGCCTAGTAACTTCAGATTCTTATAAGGGCTGGAAATCAGTCTCTTACTTGGAACTCGTTGAGTCAACTAACGGCTTCTCTGTGGACAATTTGATTGGTTCCGGAAGTTTTGGTTCTGTTTACAAAGGAGTACTTCCTAGTGATGGGAGGGCAGTTGCTGTTAAGGTATTAAATCTTCAACAACGAGGAGCTTTCAGGAGTTTCATTGACGAATGCAAAGCTTTAAGAAGTATACGGCACCGTAATCTTCTCAAGATCATTACTGCATGCTCGAGCATTGATAATCAGGGTAATGACTTCAAGAGTCTAGTATTCGAGTTCATGGCAAATGGAAGTCTAGACTCATGGCTGCATCCTAGAGATGATGAGCAACCTCAACAAAGTAAGAGATTGAGCCTTATCCAAAGACTCAATATTGCGACTGACATTGCTTCTGCATTAGATTATCTCCACCACAGTTGTGAAACAACCATTGTTCATTGTGATCTAAAGCCAAGCAATGTTCTTCTTGGTGAAGATATGGTAGCCCATGTTGGTGACTTTGGTTTAGCAAGGTTCCTCTTGGAGGCATCAGATAATTACTCCCAAAGTCAAACCATGTCAGCTGGGCTAAGGGGTTCCATAGGCTACATTCCTCCAGGTATCATTCTCTTTTTCTCTCTACCTAATAAGTTTATGACTAAGCCAACTTATTAAGTCTCTTCCAATAAAACAAAAGAAAGATAATCGAAATGAGATGTAACTTGTAAATGATTTGAGTGTGACATCATAATGCATGAATTGAATGACAGAGTACGGCATGGGAGGCCAAGTTTCCATTCTGGGAGATATTTATAGCTTTGGAATACTGTTGCTAGAAATGTTCACTGGAAAAAGACCTACAGATGACATGTTCAAAGATGGTCTAAGCATTCACCAATTCACAGCAATCAAAATGCCTGACCATGTCATGGACATAATTGACCCTTCATTGCTCATTGAAAGAAATGATGCACATGGTGATGGAGAAAGATACGAAAGTGAAATACGAACAAGACGAACCACAAGCTATCAGCATGGCAGCCCTATCCAAGCAACAAGATTGGAGGAATGTTTGGTTTCAGTGATGCAGATAGGACTCTCATGCTCTGCAATATCACCAACTGAGCGGGGGCAAATGGATGTTGTTGTCAACACACTGAAGGCAGCTAGAGACTCCTATCTCAATTTGAGAAGAAGAAGAGAAGAATGAGCTAGCGATACGCAAGATAGAGTTAATGAGCTGCAAGAAACTATTAAATAAGGATATCATATCCATGTGTGTGAAATTTCAGAAGGATGCTTTACTCTGTTTATGCCTGGACTTTCATATTGGCTTACTCAACTTGCAAGTTAATTAAAGGTGTCATGTTTTGCACGTTTTCCATCTTTTTATGTTTTTGCTGCTTATTCTGCTTAATTGATTTTCAACTAGCAGCTCGGTTCTTGTGCTGTTGCTCTCACCAGTCCAGTGATTTAGACTGGAGCAGCAAGTCTTTGACACTGATTTAGTCTCTGCAAATTGCTGCATGGCTACTTTGGTAAAAATCACCATGGCAAAAAAATGAAGACATGTTACAAGAAAAGGATGTGGGCTAATGAGAGCCAAAAGCTGAATTGGCCGTTGAGGCTTATGAGCCAACCAACGTTACCAAAACTATTTTCGTTCCACTAAGCTTGCAAGAATTCCTAGATGCTCTTATCTTCTGCCCTAAGCATTAGTTGTTATAGACATCTAAATTACTCTGCTCTGAATACATTTTCTCATATAGGGCTTCTCTCCTCCAGTCATGTTCTAGAAATCTACACTCTTTATTACTTTTATGATGATTGTTTACTTTTTGCACAAGCAACAAAAAAGGGTGCTATTAATATTAAAATTTTATTTAATTTTTTTTTCAATCTACTTCAGTTCAAGTGGTTAATTTAGACAAATTTACGTTATATTTCTATTACCATGTGAATTAAAATATAAAAGTTCTTATTTCTAGTATAATGGGGAGATTCTCCAATAATTAAGTATTTGTATGTTAAGGATTAGTTACATGCTAGCAAAAGGACCCGCGCGGTGCTACGGGTTATGAATTTGCATGAAATGTGTATAAAGTTGTGGAAGAAAAGAAATATACAAACATGAAAATGCAGAAATGATGAGCAAACAAACATTACAAAAATAAAGAAATCAGTACCAAAAAAATGCATATGTAATCAAAGAAATTCCATTAGGATCCAAAAATTAGAGATAGTAAACCCTAAACCCTTATCAGATCCATAACTTCTCTCTTTAAGTCTCTATTTCTCCTAAAAAATTATTATCTGTGTAGAGCAAACATAAATGCATTAACCAAGGACATGCAAAACTGCATCAGTTTCGATTACTCCATTAATATACATTGCAAATCAAAGCTTTATCAATAAAGTCATTTGCTCAAAACCCAAATACATCATTTAATTGGACAATAGTTGCAATTGGATCCTACCGTCTAACTCTGTCAATTTGTCAGTCAAAGTGAGGGGCAAATGCGTCCTTTCGAGTCCTTTAGATTAAAAAAAATCCGAAAGCTCTTGTTGATTTTCTCCATGTATTCCTTGCAGCTACAAATGACACCAACAAGAGGGTGAAAATTAATGATATCAGGAGATTGAATAAGATGCACAGTAGTTGTTGAATCCATTTCCACAATGAGGTTAGGAATCCCACGATCAACTGCAAGCTTAAGACCAAAAGCCAGCCCCCTGATTTCTGCATCTAGGATCTGACCCGTGCCTAAGTTGACTGTAAATCCAGCAATCCACTCCCCATCAGAGTTGCGAATAACACCGTCAGCACCAATAGCCCCAGTAGCAGGTTTCCGAGAGCCGTCGACATTTAGTTTAAAATAGCCAAAATCTGGGGGTTCCCACACCAGAGAAACGGGGGAACCCTGGTAGTCTTGGAGTTAGGAATATAAGCATTAGTGAACCATTCCTTGGCATCAGTCAGGATCAGGTTCTGAGGTTTGAAGGGCAGCTCTTCCTCATCATTAAACACATACGGTGACTTTAGATTCGCAAGAGCGCTCGTCTTCGAGGTGCGAGCACAAGGACGCGATGTGGATTCCTCATAACAATACGGGCACGGGCAGTCGGATCGTTGGACCTTGTCTTCAACCTCGAAATCATCGATGCTTAACTTTTTTTTTTTTTTTAAGAAAAAGGAGAAATGATATATCAGATTCAATAATTTATGAACATAGATGAAATGAGAAATGAACAACAAAAACAGAGCAAGAGGGCGTACGAACCAAATTGGGAGCTCTGGTCATGGTGCTACAACGTGTACTGGCGTTTGGCGGCGGCGAGGCGGGAGGTCCAGAACTCAGAGTCCATCGAAGAAGAAGAAAGATACGATTCGATCCGATTCGCTCATGCGTCAAGCTCTCTCTCTGATTGATTTATTTCTCAACAAATTAATTTTCACAAAAGAGAGAGGGATTGGGATCTGGGTTTTGAGGGGGCTGGGATAAGGAGTGGGGAGTGGGTTGCGACAGAGAGGGAGAGACAGCGAAAGAGAGGGATTTTTTTTTTACTTTTTTCAGTTTTTTCTTCAAATTCGAAAGGACGCTTTTACCCCTTATTTGTCTAATTAAAAGGGTGTAATTAGTCAAAACTTGGACGGTAGGACCCAATTGCAATTATTTGTCTAATTAAAGGATGTAATTAGCAAAAAAAAAAATTACGGACCCCAGTTGCAAATGGGGGCCAAGTTCAAGGACGTCTACAATAAATTACCCAATAGAAAATCTCTTTCTATTATTGGCAGCAGTTTTGACTAAAATTTACGTGCTAAAAAACACTAATTACTTTTTTTTTTATCCAAAAGGAGATATTCATTCAACCATGGCACCAACCAACGAAAAGAGTTTACAAACAGACGGAGAGCGTTAGTGTGGCCTCATTAAAACTTTGCCATCCAAAACCCCATGTGGGGGAAAATCCGGTCAAGGAAAAAGAGTACCACCGCATCTCGAAAACAAACAAAGAACTACACCATTGTTATATCCCTATCTAACAGCCCGCTTAACCACGGAGGAGCAGTGTCGTTCCAAAACAGTCGAGATCTCACTCTCAACCCGTGCTGGGCTAGCCTGTGTGCCACCCCATTAGCTAAAAACACTAATTACTTATACATGTCAAGATGTATAATGCTACGAAATTTAAATGATCATGAAAACATAAAACTAAATAAGAACAAAAAAAATAGCTAATAAACACAAGGCAACTAAAACCTAAGAACCCGAGCCCCTTATGCGAAGAGAAAAAAAAAACATTGCTGGGTCCAACATGCGTCATTCTGGGTGCATTGTTAATTTATAGTTCTTCTTTGCACAACACAGTCCCTCTGTTCAGATTAAATTCATCAAATTTTAACAAGAAAGGAAAACAAAACAAAAATATTGCTGAGAATGAATAACAATCTAAGGGCCTGTTTGATAGTTTCAATTTTAGTTTTTATTTTTCATTTTTTGTGCTATATTATAGAGGAAAATGAGAGTGAGAATGAGAGTGAGGATGAGAGGAAAGGTTGAGAGATAAGTAACAAAAGTGAGAACAATTTGAAATAGATTTCAGTTTGTGGTTTTTGTTTTCACTTTTGTTACTCCTTCCTCTCATCTTCTCCTCATCTTCCCTCTCAATCCTATCTCCACTTTCATTTTCACTTTCATTTTCCCTCTTTTTTTATTCTATACTGTAGCACAAAAAATGAAAAACTAAAAACTAAAATTGGAATGGTCTGGAGGCCATAATTTCCCTTACAAGCAATTTGGAAAAACATTAAGAAGATTTAATCCTGCTTGGTTTGATGATTTTTCTACTTGGTTGGAATGTAGTATAGAAACAGATTCTGCTATTTGTCTTACCTTTTTAAACCAAACATTGGAGAACAAGCAGGTAGTGATTATTTTGTGGGTGAAGGTTTTTCTAATTGTAACGTATTTCAAGATTGTAATGTATTTCATGAAAGAAATTATGCATTAATATATGAACTTTGTCTTTAAGTACGTTGTTGAAATTTTTACTCTTTACTTTGTTGTTTGGAGATTTTTTTTTTTTTTTTGTTTTTTTTTTTGTTCTCCTGGTGTGGATTGTCCCATATCCACCAATTGCTCATCCATGGTGTGTTCAGAACTGTGGGATAAGGTGGGGAATTTAAAATTTGCCTTTTAATTAGTTGCATGAATTCTCTAGAATGAGATAAAAATAAGAACATGGACTTCATATATAGCCCTTAGTTTCATTGATATTTTTGTCATAATTTTATAGATTAGTTACCAAACTGAAATGCTTTAGAGGCATTGACCCAAGATCAAGATTCGTGGACCAGATAGTCAAAATATAATGTGGAGGGAAGAAAACGATAAACAGAAAGCGCCTAAATCTTCTGCTGAATTTGCTGTGTAATAGTTCAGCGCAATTAGTGGCATATATGCATGGAGTTATTATTTGTTTTGTTGTATACATGCACACAAGGAGAAATGGGCAGGCACCACGTAGACAATGTTGTCAGATCATCAACGGCACACAAGGAGGGGTTGTTGATATTAGAGAATGCAATTGGTTTGAGAGTGTAACTCCTTAATTAGAAGGTAAAACATGTCATAACTAAGAAATTTCTTTGTTTTAATATGAACCCTCTTTGTTTTAATACGAATATTTTGACAAAATGCGATGAGAGAGACCAAACAGATGCATAGTTTTGCACCCAAAAAAAAACTTGTTTTGTTTTGTTATATTAATTTGAATTTTAATTTTTTAATAGCTAAAATTACTAAAATGCACATATTACATCAGCTCAATGAACGGTTTTATAGATAAAAATTGATGGAAGTGGTTAAGTGAGAAAATTTCATCAAATTTTAGAGATTCTGAGGGTTAAGTGAGAAAATTTAACTTCATAGAGTAAAATGGGACCGAGCGCTCGTTTAATGATGAGATAAGACTTTTAGGGGGTAAAATAGTAATTAAGCCTTTTGATGATGAGATAAGACTTCTTCTACTCCATTATTCGCACTTTTAGAATATTTGAACTTTTTTATCACCCACTAAAATTTTCCAACAGTTGCCAACGAAGTTCGTTTGTTTTCCTCTGTTTTTATGCACAAATCAAAATTGTTTTAGTCTACAATTTTTCCAACACTAACATAATGAAGCTTTTTATTTTATTTTTCTTTGGACTAAGATTTCTCTCTTCCATGCACACTTTCAAACTTGTTTGAGTTTTTTACTCCTCCACTAAAATTTTCCACCAATAACACACCACACCTTTGTCTTTTAAAAAAGATGTGTGTGATAAGATTTGGTCTTCAATTTCCTGCAACACTACATTTGGTCCTTCTTTTGAATTCCGGTAAACGAAACTTGGATTCTTATTTTGACAGAAAAAGCGAAGAAAAAGAAAAAAGAAAAATAGAGACAATTTACAGACAATTTACAAACAAACAAACACTTGATTTCAGATTTGCTTTGTATTTACGGAAGGATGGAGCCTCATGGTAGGCTGATTTTGTTTACCTTCCTTCATGGATTCCTTCTTTTATGCATGAACACACCTCTGGAATCTGCAACTCTACCTAGTTGTAATACTTTGGAAATGAAACTGATCGTCTGGCGCTGCTGGACTTGAAGAAAAGAATCACTCAAGATCCTCTCCATGTCATGAGCTCATGGAATGATTCCCTTCATTTCTGCAATTGGGTTGGCGTTACATGCAACCGTTGCACCAAAAGAGTTGTGATTTTGAAGCTGACTGCTCAAAAATTGGCAGGCTCCTTACCAAAATCTATAGGAAATCTTTCTCACCTTACCGGAATCGACCTGATGAACAACAGCTTTGCTGGTGAAATTCCTCAAGAAATAGGTCGTCTCGGGAGCCTGCGATCTCTCAACCTGTCTCGGAATTCCTTTGGCGGCAAAATTCCAAGTAATATATCTCACTGTGCACAACTAAGAGAGCTTCGTTTGGCTCACAATGAGCTTATTGGATCCATTCCGAACCAACTCAGTTCATTGGTGAATTTATATTATGTATCTGCTACTCGTAACAATCTCACTGGAGCGATCCCAAATTGGATAGGAAACTTTTCTTATTTGCATATCTTTATCTTGCAAAACAATTTTCGAGGAAGCATACCAAATGAGCTCGGGCGTCTGACACGCTTGGCGGAATTTGGAATTCCATTGAATAATCTGTTTGGTATTGTCCCTTCTTCAATCTATAATATTTCTTCCATTACAACTTTCGATGTTACTGGGAACCAGCTGCATGGAGAGCTACCACCAAATGTTGGCATTAGTCTTCCCAATCTCGAAGTTTTTTCATGTGGTATGAACAACTTCACAGGAGCTATTCCTGCGTCGTGGTCAAATTCTTCTAGACTTCAGGAGCTTGATTGTTCTGGAAATGGTTTGACCGGGACACTCCCTGCTGAAAATCTTGGAAGGTTGCGAAGCTTAGTTTGGATAAACTTCAGTCGCAATAGACTGGGAAGTGGGAAAGCTGGTGACTTGAATTTTCTCAGCTTCTTGGCTAATTGTACTGGCCTAGAGGACTTGTTTCTGGACGATAACCATTTTGGAGGAGAATTGCCAAGGTCCATAGCCAACCTATCTACCCAACTAAATATCTTTATTTGGGGGGAAATTTTATACATGGAAGCATCCCTGAAGGCATTGGGAATCTTACAAGCTTGGCCCTTCTTGGAATGGAGGACAACTATTTCAGTGGTAGTGTCCCTGATGCCATTGGGAAGCTTCAAAAGTTACAGGAATTGCATATGGATGTTAACAAATTTTCTGGGCCAATACCGTCCTCCCTAGGTAACTTGACTTCATTGATAACGGTATTCATGGACGAGAATAGGTTTGAGGGAAGTATACCTCCAAGTCTTGGGAACTGCCAAAGTCTACTCACACTTGACGTTTCTAATAATCGTCTAACAGGCACCATACCTAGAGAGATTTTTGGGATTTCATCCCTTTCAGTTTCTTTGAGAATTTCTAACAATTCTTTGACTGGTTCGTTACCATCTGAAGTGGGTGATTTGGTGAATCTTGTGGAGCTGGATGTGTCAGGAAATAAGTTATCAGGTGAAATCCCAACAACTCTAGGCGGTTGTATTATGTTGGAGCGCCTGTATATGCAAGGTAATGAATTTGAAAGAACAATTCCTGAGTCTCTTAAAGGTTTAAGAAGCTTGGAAGTAATGGATATTTCACACAACAACTTATCCGGGGAGATTCCTAAATTTTTAGAAAAGCTCAGGTTTCTTAAGTATCTCAATCTTTCTTATAATGATTTTGAAGGTGAATTGCCTAAAGAAGGGATCTTTTCAAATGCAAGTGGTCTCTCAATTATTGGAAACAATAGGGTCTGTGGTGGTCTCCCAAAATTACTTTTACATGCATGCTCCATCAAAAAGTCCAATTCATCATCTCATCGACTACTTGCCCCAAAGGTAATCATCCTTGTAGCTTGTGCAGTTGCATGCATAATTGTTCTGTCATGCTTCATTGTTGCTCGTTCGAAGGTGAAAAAGTCAAGAGGTGGCCTAGTAACTTCAGATTCTTATAAGGGCTGGAAATCAGTCTCTTACTTGGAACTCGTTGAGTCAACTAACGGCTTCTCTGTGGACAATTTGATTGGTTCCGGAAGTTTTGGTTCTGTTTACAAAGGAGTACTTCCTAGTGATGGGAGGGCAGTTGCTGTTAAGGTATTAAATCTTCAACAACGAGGAGCTTTCAGGAGTTTCATTGACGAATGCAAAGCTTTAAGAAGTATACGGCACCGTAATCTTCTCAAGATCATTACTGCATGCTCGAGCATTGATAATCAGGGTAATGACTTCAAGAGTCTAGTATTCGAGTTCATGGCAAATGGAAGTCTAGACTCATGGCTGCATCCTAGAGATGATGAGCAACCTCAACAAAGTAAGAGATTGAGCCTTATCCAAAGACTCAATATTGCGACTGACGTTGCTTCTGCATTAGATTATCTCCACCACAGTTGTGAAACAACCATTGTTCATTGTGATCTAAAGCCAAGCAATGTTCTTCTTGGTGAAGATATGGTAGCCCATGTTGGTGACTTTGGTTTAGCAAGGTTCCTCTTGGAAGCATCAGATAATTACTCCCAAAGTCAAACCATGTCAGCTGGGCTAAGGGGTTCGATAGGCTACATTCCTCCAGGTATCATTCTCTTTTTCTCTCTACCTAATAAGTTTATGACTAAGCCAACTTATTAAGTCTCTTCCAATAAAACAAAAGAAAGATAATCGAAATGAGATGTAACTTGTAAATGATTTGAGTGTGACATCATAATGCATGAATTGAATGACAGAGTACGGCATGGGAGGCCAAGTTTCCATTCTGGGAGATATTTATAGCTTTGGAATACTGTTGCTAGAAATGTTCACTGGAAAAAGACCTACAGATGACATGTTCAAAGATGGTCTAAGCATTCACCAATTCACAGCAATCAAAATGCCTGACCATGTCATGGACATAATTGACCCTTCATTGCTCATTGAAAGAAATGATGCACATGGTGATGGAGAAAGATACGAAAGTGAAATACGAACAAGACGAACCACAAGCTATCAGCATGGCAGCCCTATCCAAGCAACAAGATTGGAGGAATGTTTGGTTTCAGTGATGCAGATAGGACTCTCATGCTCTGCAATATCACCAACTGAGCGGGGGCAAATGGATGTTGTTGTCAACACACTGAAGGCAGCTAGAGACTCCTATCTCAATTTGAGAAGAAGAAGAGAAGAATGAGCTAGCGATACGCAAGATAGAGTTAATGAGCTGCAAGAAACTATTTAAATAAGGATATCATATCCATGTGTGTGAAATTTCAGCAAGGATGCTTTACTCTGTTTATGCCTGGACTTTCATATTGGCTTACTCAACTGCAAGTTAATTTGTTTTGCACGTTTTCCATCTTTTTATTCAGTTTAATTGATTTTCAACTAGCAGCTCGGTTCTTGTGCTGTTGCTCTCACCAGTCCAGTGATTTAGACTGGAGCAGCAAGTCTTTGACACTGATTTAGTCTCTGCAAATTGCTGCATGGCTACTTTGGTAAAAATCACCATGGCAAAAAAATGAAGACATGTTACAAGAAAAGGATGTGGGCTAATGAAAGAACATATGTAATCAAAGAAATTCCATTAGAAATTCCCTAAACCCTTATCAGATCCATAACTTCCCTCTTTATCTGTGTAGAGCAAACATAAATGCATTAACCAAGGACATGCAAAACTGCATCAGTCAGCAGTTCTATTACTCCATTAATATACATTGCAAATCAAAGCTTTATCAATAAAGTCATTTTGCTCAAAACCCAGATACAGAGAGCTCACAAATACTTGAAAGCACATAACTTTAATCTTATATAAGTAAAATTCAAAGGCCATTGACACCCTTTAAAACCACTCACTCTCTCTCACTAACCACCAGGCGTATATATAGAGCCCCACTTTTGGTCTTAACTACCTAATGGGTAAGGATGTCAGATATGCCCTGAGCAGAACCGTTGCAATCCCTGCAGTGAGAGTTGCAAAGTAAGAGACACTATATCACTTAACAACAGGTTTATCATTGATCTCTAATTACTATTTCATAGACAATAATTGAATCATCACCTTACTTTTAATATTACAAAACTAACCAGATGTAAATGTATGTAATTGAGTTCCTTACCTCTCCAGCATTAAATTTAAATCTTTGCTTGTCAAAGAATAGCAACACTGAAGGAGATGTATCCTGCGTATCCATTCCAGTCCCTAGCAACTGCAAAGAGTAGAAGCATGGCCAAATTATTAGCCCATGAAAAGGAAAAAAACAATAGAACCAAACTCTGCATTCTGAAATTAGGATATACAAACTTTTTTAGTTTTCAATAAGTCTCCATTCAACGCAAAAATCTGCTTGGTAAATCAAACCCACAAACAAAAAAAATTATGAATTTTAACTTTTCTGAATTCTTTCTTGTCATCACTAATGTCCACAAACAGAATTCCAATTTAGAAGTCAGATTTTCAAATCCCACATATTTCCCAAACCATTCTTCTTCAAGTCAACTATGCTAAAACATTGCAATCAGTTCCTAGAATCACACTCACAAATTTTCTTTCCCCTACCAAAACAAAAAGTATCAAATTCAAATCCCCAGTCCCATAAACCAGTATAAGAACGAATTTGAATTAAAACCTTGTAATAAAAGAACGAACATATCTTTAAATAGAGCTACCCAAATAGCAGCATATCCTGCTTACCAAACAGAGCTATCCTAAACCCTGTAACAAAAGAACCAGCATATCCAAATACCGATTTTCAGGGTTTACCAACTAATTTTTAATAAACAAAAAATAAAAAAGCAGGAGTCTATAACCACGCGCAAACAGAATATCAGCCACACAGACATCAATTACCAGATTGATGAGCGGGGTTCTCATATTGATTACTCCATTTCTTTTTCCTTAGATCTTCCTCCCTGTAACAACAAACCAAACTCAATTTCTGATTTAATTCTCAATTTTTGACATGACAAATGAATAAACCAACTTAGAAAACCAAAAGAACGTTAAAACCAACCTTTTTTTACGAAACCCAGAAATCCTTTGAGCTAAACCCGTGCGATGAGATGAAGGATGAAGCGCATCTGGAACGGCAACACACGAACGCAACATCTAAGAGGAGAACTAATGAGATAAAAACCAAAAGGGCGGCTGGATTTGCAGCGCGCCTCCCCAAACGAAAATCGACGGCCCCCCACGCATGCAGAACAGTGAGCTCTGATCTTCCATGGCTGCCCCCAACCAGTCCAACCAACTGGTTCGAAACGGACTGGAAAGCTGAGAGCGAACGAAACGTTCGAATTGAAAGAGATGCAAATGGGAAAGGCCAAAAAGGGAACATAAGGGAAAATTCAGTAAAGGGCAAAATCGACAATTCTCTGTATTGTTAGGAAAATATAGGCTGTGTAACAGTGAAACAGCTGTCATTTCACTATTCAAGGAACAGTGCTTATGAATAGTATCTGATTGCATTGGGCTTTAGTATATATAGAATTTCTAATCTTGACTGTTGGATTGCATGTATATTGTATACTAAATCTACCAACACATCTAATGAATGTAATTCAACAGTTGAAATTAGAAATATGTAATCAGTCCATAACTTAAATACTTATTACAAAATAATCCTTCTGATATCCCTCACATAAAAGTACTTTTGAAAAGTATCTAGGAATACCAAATATAGTGAAATGGAGAGTTCTAACTAGTGATATGAGGTTATAAGCATGAGTTCTAACTAGTTGAAGTTCTTCTGCCTTTCTAAATTCCAAGTTACAATAGGGGGACTATGAGGTGCTTGTTGTTCCTTTTATTCATTCAAATTCTGTATGAGCACAACATCTTACAACACGGTGGTATAAGTAGTCTATTGTAGGGTTTTTTCATTATATTTTATTTTATCACTCAATTGCAAATTTGAACTAGAAGTTCATAATTCATTGATTTTATAACTAGTTGTTTCTAAGTTGTGATAATTTTAGAACTCGAAGTTCTAAATGTAATGATGTATTATTATTCAGAGAAACAAAAAAGAGAGATTATGACCAGAAGATATAGATTCTCAATTCACATGGATCTGTCAATCTAAAAAGGGCATGAAGATCCTTAATTCGTATACAATCAAATGAAGACCTCGAAGTTCATTCCATATAATATATAAGGATATAGAGTTCGGCAGTTTTGAAAAGCAAATCAAGAATTGAAGTTCTTTGATATTTTTTTCTAATTAGAACTAGAAGTTCAATCAATTTATTTTATTCAAGTATTATAATTATTGTTTTCCATTTATCGTTGTATTTATTATTTTTTCTTTTGTTTGAGTAATTCATATGTATGGTCATTTGTTGAAGAATATGAGTCCCACAGCTAGGCCTTTTGTGATATCACCGAGGCCTTTTGTGATAAATGAATGGTTCCAATACTAATATCACTGAGGCATTTTGTGAAAAAACTCTACACCTACTAGGCTTTGTAGGTGGTTACTAGGGGTGGGCATCAAAACCGGAATACTGAAACCATCCCGAAACCGTGCCAAACCATGCCAATTTTGTGCCAAACCATTTGGTGTTGACGTGTAAACGGGATGATACCGTGTCATCCCATTACTGTTTGGCACGACATCGGTTTCAACTTTGTGATCCCGTTTCGTGTCATACCGTATCGAACAGTAAATGTAAATAATAACCCTAACTTTATACGAACCATAGTCGTTTAAATACAGGCCGGAACAAAACATAGCAATAAATACCAAGCATCCCATGCCATCACCTGCCACACTGGAAGATAATAGCAAAAAATAAGTCAACACAAGACAATAGCAAAACCACACTGGAAGATGACGTGAGAGACTAGCATAAGACTACCACATGGAAAGTTTTATTGCCGTTGTAAACCCGTTTCCCTCTGCTACCAATTTCACTCCGATCTCATATTCTCATAATATATGGAAAGTTCTTTTGGTTTGCAATTATTTGTTTTCAATGTGAGAAATTGTTTTGATTTTGGTTCCAACATCATTGATTTGCTTGTATTATTCTTGTGTGACTGTCAATAATAAGAAAACTGAGAAGATCTTGGGTAAGGTAAGGCTACTAGATGATATTTAATTGTTGAACAGGGGAAAACATTGCTGTTTAACACTAATTTATGCAAGCATGCGTGGGAAGATAGATTTCATGAGAACTCTAAAAGTTAACAAGTGCCCAGCTATATAAGAGCTTCAATTACAGTTCATATTAGGAAGATTAACTACTGTCAATAATTATATTCTTGATTGTTTATTTTGTTGTATTACACTTATTTATGAAACTTTGCAGATTTTTTACGATATCAACATTGATACCGAATCATACCGATCCCGATTAGGTTTGAACGTGTTTTCAAAAACTCTCATCCCGTGTCATCCCATACCGATTCTCCTATTCAGGGATTGACACCGAGATGACCTCCATCCCGTGTCATCTCATACCGTGCCCACCCCTAGTGGTTACTGTGAAAATCCCATATTCTTAAAAGTTTTTAAAGAAGATTAAACGTTTATGTATATCTACTGTTTTACATTTACAATACTATTTTAATAATTATTCGTACTTAGTAAATATATATATATATGTTTATTTGAATAACTATAAAATATATTTATTATTTGATTTTCTCTAAAGGTTACCCTTAGACATTTCTTGGGTATTTAACTTACATAATTGTATATATTTATAATAATATTCATTATTAGAATTGTGTTATTCATATCTTGTTTATTAAGTAGCTAAAAATCTCTTTTTATCTTTTGAGCAAGTTAACTTGGACAAAAAGATTGACATGTTAATTATATATATATATATATATATGAGTTTTAATTGTCTTAAGGTAGAGTGGACGTGTGTTTAGCATTCATATTTCATCCTTATCACCAATATATGTGTCATTGTTTTAAAGCTCAAAGCTTATGTGTTTTGACAGCTCCTGTAAGAAATTAGTTAGTTAATAAATATCTTGATTTTATCTTCCTATATTTGTAATTATCCTTATTCATCAAGCTTATCCATATATCTATTCTTACTTCATGCCCAATTTTTGTAAGAGTATAATAAGGCATCTCCCCTATGTTGTCAATAACAACAAGAAACGAGAAATAGAGAGAAAGGAAGTGAAATACTAGAGAGAGAATTTGAGTGTGGATATATGCGGTGGAAATTAAGGAGTCCTCTTACAATTCTAGCAAAAGCTTTGGTGTTGAGGTAGGGGTTTCTTGGGGGCCTTTAAGGGGATTGATTTAATTAAATTTCGTGAGTTCTATATTATGTGAAAGGCATAATTATATCATGTCATGAAAATTGGTTGGAGTTGTTGGGTTAAGAAAATAATGATGGAAAAGAGGGTAATGGAAATAGTCTTTTGTGTAGTTGAGTCTAACTCTTAGTAGGTACTAGGTCTCAGGGATCCCACAGTGCACATGGTTTTTATTGGGTGATTCGGGACTGGCGAAAGGGAGTTAGACAAGATGACTAACAAAAGGGGAATTATGGGATGATTAAAATGGGTGTTAGTTCATATAAATGGGCATTTGGGACCAAGTGGTATAAGCATGGTATGGGACGTGCAGGTCTGCTTGTCCAGTTATATGAATTAACGGGAATAGATTAAGAGCATTCATTCATGCATTATTATTAATAATGTGATATTTGGTTGTGTGATTGCATGTCACTTAATTTAGTTATATCAGTCTACTATGGTAAGGTCTCATTTCCCTACTGAGCTATGGTTGCTCACCCTTCACCCTGTTTAATTTTTTAGATGAATTAGTGGGCAAGAAAAGGACTAAACCAGTTGAGGCTGAATTAGATGAGAGTGATAGAGCTTTATTTATTTCTTGTAAAGTTGTAAGATTTTAGAACTATTTTTTATAAGAGAAGTTTATTTTAAACCCATGTTTCAGCTTCTTTTTATTTTATTTTAGTTTTTATTTTCTCACGCACCAAGCGCAGGGTTTTCACTGACCCCGGGTCCGGGGCGTGACAGTTACGTTGGGGACAATATCGGTGTTGTTAGTAATGGGCACTAGCCCGTCTCTCTGAATTTAACATGGTATCAGAGCGGGTTGATTGACTGGGCCTGAATTTGGCCTTTACCCTTACCCAATATGTAATGTTCACATGTTGGGCTTGAATGTTTACCTCTACCCTTTACCCAATACGTAGTGCTCATGTGTTGGGCTTGAATGATCGACTTCGATGTGGACTTGGCTCCATGTGTGGCCCACTATGCGGTGGTCCCACGTGAGGGGGCGTGTTGAAGAATATGAGTCCCACATCGAAAACTTAACTAAATAAAATACAATATATAATGAATGGTTCCACTACTAATATCACTGAGGCCTTTTGTGATAAAACCCACACCTACTAGGCTTTGTAGGTGGTAAGTTGGGGACAATATCGGTGTTGTTAACACCTTTAAGGTAAAAAGTACGATCCAAAGTTGAAATATTTTAAAACCTACAGTTCTTTGATTTACCTTTGATTTGAACCAGAAGTTTCGGAAGATTTATTTTATTGAAATATTTTTATTATTACTGTTGATGCTCTTTTTGGGAGGTCAACTTAGAGGGAAGTGGATAGTCTTTAGCAGGGGAGAAGGTGAGGACCTTCTGCAATGGAAGAGCCTGCAGAAGACAAAGTAGGAGAAGCAGTCACTAAGCTTCTTTCACCGGTGTGGTGCCGGCCGAAGGCTCTCCGATGCTTATGTCAGCTATGGGTGGTAAAAGTGGCAGAGTAACAGTAAAAGTGAGAGAGAAGTTACCCTTTTTACTTGGGCACTGTTCCTTATTTATAGGGAAGTGAAAATGGGAGCTTTGCACAAAGTTTCGATGTGGGACTTTGTGCAAGTCACTGTGGTGGTGACACGTGTCTTGGAGATTAGGTTAAGCAATTGGGAGTTTCGGCAGGTGTCTGGCACCTCGGAAGGATGTTTTCCTTCAACAAGGAAGAAGGCGTGTCTGCCTTTGGTGCTAGTTGCTTTGATGCTGGATATGCTCGGTTGATTATCGTGTAAACAGTAGTCCCCCAAGTTCGTGGTCAAGAAGTAACTTCTGGGTTGGGAACTTGTGAGATTTTTTTTTTTTTTTTTTTTTTTTTTTTTTTTTTTTTTTTTTTTTTTTTTTTTTTTTTTTTTTTTTTTTTTTTTTTTTTTTTTTTTTTTTTTTTTTTTTTTTTTTTTTTTTTTTTTTTTTTTTTTTTTTTTTTTTTTTTTTTTTTTTTTTTTTTTTTTTTTTTTTTTTTTTTTTTTTTTTTTTTTTTTTTTTTTTTTTTTTTTTTTTTTTTTTTTTTTTTTTTTTTTTTTTTTTTTTTTTTTTTTTTTTTTTTTTTTTTTTTTTTTTTTTTTTTTTTTTTTTTTTTTTTTTTTTTTTTTTTTTTTTTTTTTTTTTTTTTTTTTTTTTTTTTTTTTTTTTTTTTTTTTTTTTTTTTTTTTTTTTTTTTTTTTTTTTTTTTTTTTTTTTTTTTTGCGGCCTGCATAACTTATCCACCTCCGCCCTCATGGCCTCATATCGCTCTAGGTCATAAGCACAATGCTTCTGCCGAACTGGTCGGACGACAGGATTAATGCTTAGCTGATGGGGTATGATGTCTGGTGAGATGCCAGCATGTCATTGTAAGACTAGGAGAAGACTTCAGAGTTGAGGCGGAGGAAGGCGACGAGGTCAGAGCAAAGCTTTGTGAGAGGGAGGTATTGATCCGGACCTGCCGATCCGGGATGTCGTCATGGAGAGTAACCAGCTCAAGGTCCTCCACAGGTTCGGCTTGCTAGGTGATAGATACCTCCATGGGTCTTCAGGTCATTCAGTGCCAGCATGATGAGGGGTTGGGGCGTTGTTCACCGCAAGGGCCTCACACCTATGCTGGAGATTGGTGGACTTGACTACTGAAGCATAGCAGCTTCGGGCACCAAGTTGGTCGCCACGAACTGTGCTCGTGCCATGGGGGGTAGGGAACTTCAGCAGCAGCATATGTGTGGAAATGAAAACCTTCATTTGTGCCAAGGTTGGGCATCCGAGGATGACGTTGAAAGTTGTGGGGCAGTCAACGATAAGGAAGGAGTGGTGACTGTAGCCCGCTGAGGTACTGAACCAATGGGATAGGAAGGTGGATGATGCCAAGGGGCTGAACAACGTCTCCAGAGAAGCTTACGACAGGGGTGATGCTTCGGTCGAGCAAGTGAGCCAAGAGTTGGAGCTCTCTGAAAGCACCAACAAACATCACACTGACCGAGCTGCCAGTGTCCACTAGGATACGCCCAACATCAAAATTAGAAATGTCCGCACGGATAATGAGTGGGTCATTATGAGGGAGAATAACACCACGTTCCTCCTCCTCGCAGAAGGTAATGGGGGCCAGCCTGATTTTTGCGTCTTCGGCAGGCGTCCCTACTCGGTGCTGAAGACCTAGTGCGCATAGGTGGAGCGGACATAATGTTTGATGAAGTTGTTGGAGGTTCCAGCCATGGTAGGACCACCACTGATGGTGGAGATCATGTTGATCTGCCGTTGGTGAGGGTTAGGTGGGGGTGGGAAGGGGAGGTTGTGCACATATTGTCTAGCTTTCCTTCACGGATGAGTCATTCAATGATGTTGGCATAGGCTTGTTGGTCGGTCTCTTGGGGGAGGCTTAGGTATCAATGGTGCCTCGTGCACCAGGACATTCTCATAGGTGGTGTTGAGGGTGGTGAAGACCTCGAACCGAGGCTTGGGGTGTGAAGAGGAGTGGGGCCCTATCACTTGTCCTGGAGGGTTGCTTCTGCTGGACTGCTGGTGGTTACCATGTCTGCCACGCTTGCTACTACTGAAGGTATGCTGGTAGCTATCCTTCCTCTTTGGGTGGGGTACCCTGGGTATTTGGAGCAGTAGAAGAATGCTGAGGCGGGGCTGGGTGGGTATCGAACCAGGTGGAGGATCACCGAAAGTGCTACGTGCCGGGGTGGCTGGGCCACGCTTGAAATTGAAGTACTCAGCCTTGGCGTGAACTGCTACCTACTTAATTAGCTCCGCATATGTGTTCCAAGAGTTGCTGTGGACCAGGTAGCGGAAGTTGGACTCGCGGAGGCCACTCTTAAAGGCACTGAAAGCAGCATGATCGTTAGTCTCCGGGCAACGGGAGTACTCATGGCTGAACCGGGCTGCATACTCCCGAAGGGGTTCGTCTTCACCCTGCCAAAGCATGTACAAGTCATCCGCGGAATACAGGCGATCGGTCTGGATCATGAAGTGGTCTAGGAAGGTCTGCTTCAGACTGTCAAATGAGTTGATGGTGCGGGGGTTCAACCTGTAGAACCAATTCAGGGCCGTGCCACTGAGGATGAAAGGGAAGAGGAGGCACATGCCTTTGTCACTAAGGCCCTTGCACCTGATGGCAGACTGGAAGGAGTGGATATAGGTGAGAGGATCCTTCGTGCCAGTGTAAAAGGCAATTATGGAGCGACTGAATGTCCTTCTCCTGGTGGTAGTTGAGGATGCAATTGGTAAAGGGCCCAGGTCGTGGCTTCGCCCAGAGGGGTTGGTGGCTGCGCTGCTGCTCACTTTCCAAGCGCCGAACCTTCTCAAAAAGAAGCCTTATGGCCGGGTCGGCATGAGGGAGGGTCTCGAGTGCTGAAGGCCTGGTGTGTGGGTAAGCAGGAGTTAGGTAAGGTTCCCACTCTTCGAATGCCTCAGTGTGATAAGACTCCAAGTCTTTTGGATGGTAAGATTCCCAGTTATCCGAGTCCCCTACACCTTCTCCAGCGGGTAGGTGGGTGGGCTTCGGTAAGGGGCCTAGGTGTGCCACCCTTGGGTCTTTGGGCTTAACAGATATAGGGATAGGGTTTGGCTAACGGTCTAAAGAGACGGTCCCTGCAATCTTTGTAGACCTTCGTCGATTCATGGGGTCGGTCCTTTGGTGGGGAGATTTGAAGGAGCCGCTACTTGGTGGTCTCCGGATGGAGGGGGCCTTTACCCTTGTTGAGCCTAGACTGGACAGGGGCACTATGGCGAGAGTGTACTGGCTGGTTTGGCTGGGTATGCCCAACATCCTAGCTAAGGTTATGTTGGGAGCCCTGGGTTTGAGTCCTTTCCCAGTTTCGCTTTAGAGTGCGGTAGTCATGCTCCAGCTCGATGTTCTTGGTATGAAGATGTTCATATTTCTCGGACATCTTGGCAACATTGGCGCGGAGGTGCTCTACCTCTGCCTGGAGATTGGCATCTGCTGAAGGTTTCCTTCAAGAGGTGTCCCCACGGGGGGTATGGTGTTGAGTATCGTGGCTATCCTCAGTCGGCATAGCAAAGTATGGGGTGAAGATGAGGCGACGAGACTGGTTGGAGAAGGAGCCAGCCGGGCTGGTAGAGATAAATGGGATTCAAGTGTCGTTTCCCACAGACGATGCCAAACTGTTGATGCTCTTTTTGTGAAGTCAATTTAGAGGGAAGTGAATAGTCTTCAGCAGGGGAGAAGGTGAGGACCTTCGGCAAGGGAAGAGCCTGCAGAAGACAAAGTAGGAGAAGCAATCGTTAAGCTTTGGACACCGGTGTGGTGCCCGCCAAAGGCTCTCCGATGCTTAAGTCAGCTGTGGGTGGTAAAATTGGCAGAGTAACAATAAAAGTGAGAGAGAAGTTACCCTTTTTACTTGGGTACTATTCCCTATTTATAGGGAAGTGAAAATGGGAGCTTTGCACAAAATTTCGATCTGGGACTTTATGCAAGTTGCTGTGGTGGTGACACGTGTCTTGGAGATTAGGTTCAGCAGTTGGGAGCTTCGGCAGGTGTCTGGCACCTCGGAAGGATGTTTTCCTTCGAGGGGGAAGAAGGCATGTCTGCCTTTGGTGCTAGTTGCTTTGATGTTGGATATGCTCGGTTGATTATGGTGTAAACAATTACTTATTTCTTTTCTTTAATTTCAACTGTTTTATGTAAGGACATAAAGTCTTCAATATAATCCAGTGATCGTTAGAACCTGAAGTTCTAAGCCAGACAGATCTATATTGAAGTCCTCAAACCCAAAACCTTGAGGAGATATATATTGATTAAATAAATAAATAAATACAAAAAAGAGCATGAACTTGAAATTCACAATTTATATTATCGGGAACCTAAAATTCTACCAACAAAATTAATTAAATGGTGACAAAAACCAGAGTTTATAATTAAATTATTCAAGAACTGAAGTTCTCGATTAGATTTATATAGCACAAATTAAAAACTTAAAGTTTCATGTATATGTGCATATGTATTATAAAAGATATAATATATATTGTGGGAGCATATATTTCTGCTTCCAATCACAAGGCGCCATGTGAATAAGAAGAATATCTTATAGGTCAATTAATTGAGCCCATTTATTTGGCAAATTAATTGATACTAAAAATAGGGATATTATCATATTTAAAAATATAATATCACCAATTTAGGATATTATCTTATTTTGGACATATCATTATCAATTAGTAATTTGATCCCAATCAAATTCCTAAGAGAATATTCTCCTGTGAGAATATATGCACAAACATTTGATGCTTTCATTGAGAGCACGAATTATACTCAACGCGTGCTCTTGAATCGAAGGAATCTGTATCCTCCCCTTTTCTCTCAACCAAAGCTTATCGAACAAGACCGCACTCGTCCCACAATCCCGCGATCGCAATGGAGGCTTCACCTCCTCATTGCACCACCGGTGTGAACCTACAGCAGGCCTGTGTTGTCGCACCACCACATGGTTCTACAGTTGGAACCGGCAACCCACCTCATGGCCCCGATGCTGAAACAGCCGTGCAGCCTCACAACTCATCGTTGCCAGCGTCATCCAGCCTCCCTGCTCCTTAGCCGGAACACACTTGCAGGCGCAAAGCCTAGCAGCCGAATCCAGCCACGATCACAGCACCGCTGCCACACAAGGTGGAACCTCTCATCATTGCAATCTCGCCGCCACCACACGTTACGCCCCGATCTTGGAACAATTTTGCTCATTTCCTCCTTTGCCGCCATGCTCAAAGTACGCTCCTCAACTAGATTGATTTGGTTCGAGACCTTGGCCTTGGATTGCGATTGAGCCTAAGGATCAACGTGTATGAAAGGTTGGGCCCGCTTCTAGATCTTCTCATTAGCTTGGGCCCACAAGGAAATGTTCATGAAAGGCTAAGCCCTCAGAAAGATCAGCATATCGACCCTCATCATGAGGTTCAAGAAGAAAGGTGCTTTGCAGTTCGTTCTCGAAGAATCTCTTCCTGTCGACAAGCCATAGGGAACCCCTCGCAAGCACAGGACAATCGAGGAAGTTAGCCCCTACGATTCAATGAGGAAGTCAATCAATGACGCCCGAATCATGGAGGCCGCCAGTGTGAGTTGCAAGCCATGTGCACAGAAGATGTTGAAAGGCTTGTGAATAACCTGCTTCCAGACTTAAAGATCGGAGAAGATTTTGAAGATACCATACGGAGGGAGGTGGACTAGGTGAACTCCTCACCATTCACCGTCGACATCGAACATGCTACTCCACCAAAGTAATTCTCAATGCCTTCTTTCACACACTTTAAAAGGGATTTCGATCCCGAGAGCCATCTAAAGAACTTTAAAAGTGTTATGGTTCTCTACAAGGCTGAAGATGCGCTGATGTGTAAAGTGTTTGTCACGACCTTATGAAGAGTAGCCTAAGGTTGGTTTTATACCTTGCCATCCGGGTTGACTAGCAGCTTCAAGGAGCTAGCATTCGTATTCACCAAGGAGTACATCTCTTATCAAACGATCAAATAGAACCCTGACCACCTGTTCAACTTGCATAAGAAGCATAATGAGTCCCTCCAGGATTACATCAAGAGATTCAAGGCAGAAAAGGCAAACATCTTAGGTTGCAATGACCGAATCGCATCCTCTGCCTTCAAGAAGGGTTTGCCAACTGAACACGACTTATACCGCGAGCTGATTATTGCTCTCAGCCAAACTCTGGGAGAGGTCTTTGCGACCGTGGAATGCTATACGCTTTAGGATGATGACCGAATCATTGCGAAATAGCCTACCAAGAAAGCCAACCAATTGGCCAAACAGGCAAGGTAGAGAAGCGATAGATTCAGCAACAAGAGTGGTGCCAAGGAGACTCTCGGGCAGATGAGAACTTCACCAAAGTTTCCATCCCCATACATCAAATTCTAGCCTAAGTAAAAGACAAGCCTTGGGTGAAGAGACCACCGCCCTTGAAAGGGGATCCAGATAAGAGGGATACATGAGCATTTCACGAATAATTGCTTTGCCTGGAAAAAGCCCCTCAAAAACTTGTGAGGGAAGGCCACTGCATAGAATTCATAACAAAGCAGTCCATCCAATAGATCGAGGACTGTAACACAATCCTGGTTGACTTTGAAGAATCCGAGCTGAGCAGAAAAGAAAGGAAGAGGGAGATTCAATAAGCCACTGTTTCCTCCTAAGTCTTAACCAGCCCCCCATTAGTTGAAGACAATCCCGTGATCGACTTCCAAAAGAAAGATTTAATCGGCCTTGATCAGCATCTAGATCATACAATCCATGATCGACCGAGCTCATGTAGACAAGGGAAGCACAACCAACATCTTACAACTTTTGGTGATCCAGCAAATAGGCATGGAGACAAAGATCAACAAGTCAGCTAGGTTACTAGTCGGCGTCAATGGCATGACTTCGGTAACCATAGGCACAATAGATCTCGATATCTATTCCCTACCATTAATCAGCTCGCAAAACTTCACGGTCATTGATGAAGTCGCCCCTACAATGGCATCATGAGCAGATCATGGATTGGCAAGAACTAACAGAGGAAGAAGCAGATCCCATTCTTGATAGTCGAGCAAACCAGAAAGGAAAAGGAATAGCAACTAAAGAGTAAGGACTAAGCCAAGGGAATTCGTCCGGAGGTCTTTCCTAAAAAAGGATGGAGGCCCGAAGAGGATGTTGAGCTCGTATCCCTTCATCCTGACAAGCGAGAGAGAAAAGGGCAGATCAGCCCGCACCTAATCCTAGAAGAGAAGATGGAGCTTATAGCCTTCCTCTAGAACAACAACGACGTGTTTATACGGTCACCATCTGACATGCCAAGCATCTATCCACAAATCATATGCCATCACCTTCATGTCAACCCAGCCAGCAGACCAGTAGGGCAGAAGAGATGCAACTTCGCTCTCGAGCGACTTGCCGTCATTGAAGACAAGATCGATAAGCTCTTTGCTGCCGGTTTCATTGAAAAAGTCTCCTACGCAGAATGGTTGGCCAATGTTGTTCTAGTAGCAAGAAAAGATAAGGAGTTGTGAAGAGTTTGCGTCGACTACACCGACCTCAATAAGGCATTCCCTAATGACAACTTTCCGTTACCAAGAATTGATCATCGACGACACAAACAATATTGCAGCATAGTCATGCTCTTTAGGCTGAAGAACGCCGGAGCAACCTATCAAAGGCTATGGAGGTCTACATAAACGACATGCTAGTCAAAGCTCCTCGACGAGCAGACCACATCAAAAATCTTGTCGAAGCATTCAGCTTGCTCTAAAAGAATTACATGAAGTTGAATCCGAACAAGTGCAAATTTGGGGTCTCATCTAGCCAATTTTTGGGATACTTAGTCACCCAAAGAGGCATCAGGGCACATTCAAACCAAATCAAGACAATATTCAACATGAAATCGCCTGCCACAACAAAGAAGATACAAAGTCTACTGACAAGTGTAGGCCATTCTTCAAAGCCTTGAAAAAATGACAAAAAGACAAATTGGACGACGAGTGCGAAGTTGCTTTTCAAAACTTAAAAACCTACCTCATTTCACCTTCCCTACTCTCAAAACTAGTACCATGCAAAAATTTGCTTATCTACATGGCAGTGTCCAACTCAGCAGTGAACTCAACTCTCATCCAAGATAAGCTGGGGGCACAACATCTGGTATTCTACATGTCAAAAGCACTCCTCGATGCAAGAAAGTAAACACCCTACTACTAAGCTCACCAAATAATCACCATAACATAATTTTCTTTGAGATCTATCCTTCACAGCCCCGATGCTTCTCAGCGGCTCATGAAACGGGCTATTGAACTCAGTCAGTACAACCTCTTCTACCGGTCGAAGACTGCTATAAAGGCCCAAGTTTTAGCTGATTTTGTTGTAGAGTTTACTCCAACAGCTAAAGAAGAGAAGCTGGTCACAAAAAACAAGGAAAATTCAAAAGTAGACAATACCTCATTCGCAGATCCAGACATGCCCAAAGACATGTGGCAATTACGCGTAGACGAAGCGTCAAATCATAATCGAGCTGGAGCAGGAGTTGTCATAATCACCCCAAATGGAACTTTGTTCTAGTACTCCTTAATATCGTTCGGCTCCTGTCGGGGAGCCTCACTAGCTTACAGGTTTTTCAAGGAGTTATTCTTAGGATAGTTAGCCGGAATACTATTCCTTTCTACCGTTCGACTCTTGTAAAGGAGTCTCACTCCCATTTTGATTACTTAAAGCTATATATTCATTTTGACAACAGCAATACACATTGGGTCATTCACCCACTCCTGCTTGGGCGTCCCTCCCCCTACGCTTTTTGAGCTAATGAAAATATAATGTATTTATGCTAATGTGTCTAACAGTACATCTCCTATTGAAATACCGTTCGGCTCCTGTTAGGGAGCCTCACTACCGTTTCGTTTACTCTTCATATGAGGATGTTGTAGTTACCGTTCCTACATTTCTTTCCTTCGATTGAAGTATCGTTCGGCTCCTATCGGGGAGCCTCACTTTCCATTCTGTTTGTTTTTCAAGTAGGGGAATATTTACACAGGTGACCAATGAACCTTCAAGCCTATGAATAGTTGTGGAGCACTGTGTACTTATAGCCTCTACGATAAGCAAGTGAATGGGGCCGGTGCGTGGCGAATGGAACAGTTCATCATGCCATTTCTCGCCTCAACCCCCTAAATAGGAAGAGGGGTACTTTAGAAATAGGGGCTAATTGCTTCGCAATTGACTGTGATAGCCCTCTCGATACCTTATTGGAGCTTTGTAACTAGTGGCCGGTTTCCCGTCGCTAGAGCGTTTTCCCTGTGCACGGAGCCCCAACGAGGAAGGTGTTAGTGGTTTATCATTGGGTCAATAATGCTAATCCCTCTTTTTGTGCTACTCCTAGGGTGAGAAGAAGATAAGAAAACGCAAAGCGTTCTCTCCCAACTTGTTTATTTCTAAAGGCTATCCTCTCTCGGCTGGATGTTGGTCCAGCCTACTACAAGGATCCCGTATCCAACAACCCAACCTTAAAAAAGGGCATAAAAGCCCCTTGTCTAGGTTGGAGCTATGAAGCTTCCCTTATTATTATGAAAAGGTTGTTTACTTCCTTACTTGTTTTGTTAGAGTAAGGTAGCTTGCTTACTTAGTGCTTGCACTAAGGGGAAGGGGCTTTATCGGCTAGTGCGCAGGAGCGCACTTCCGTTTTCCCTTTACTAGTAGGGGGTCCCGTGGTTCCTATGCCACCTCGTTTCCAAGTCCTTTTCTTTTAGTGCTTTGACCCAAAGCGATAGGGTCAAAGCATCTCTTTTCTTTTCTCGTTTCCCGTGGTTCCTATCCATTATTTTTTTCATCTCTTTATTTTGCTATTTTCTATGCATCTATTTACTTGACTGTTTGGGTCTTCATTTTGGTTCTATCTTTTCTTGTTTGGTTTTTTGCATGGGGGGTGGGCAAGCACTTCCTCTTCCGGCATCGTCCTCCAGCCCATCGAGCTTGTCCATGCTCCTATCTATACTACAGCTTTCACTCTACCAACTGAATCCTCATCTATATTTTGATATGAACCTAAACCAATAACTGAATCCTTACTACACGAAGGAGGAATCTAAGAGCATGAGGGCTAACTACGAGAAGGTGAGGTCGTCTCTCCTTCTGAGTTTATTCTCTACCCAAATTCGTAGGGATCGAGTCGGACTGAGATAATATCTGATTTAATGATATTATCTCTTTTATGGAGATAATATCCAAATTAAACGATATTATCTCTTTTATGAAGATAATATATGAGATAATGACATTATCTTCTCTTTATTAGGATAATACCTTAATTAATGATATTATCTTATTAAATAAAGATAATATCATGTTAATTAAGATGTTTATCCCAATTAATTAATTGGCCAGATAAACTGGTTCAATTAATTAATTAAAAGAGATAATCTTCTTTTCCACGTGGCGCGCTGTGATTGGAGACGAAAATATTGCTCCCACAAATGCCCCCCAGCTTCTGCATGGCGCTTGTGTGGCATGTAGGAGATGAAATTATTTTATAATTTTTTTTCGGGCTCTCCAACTGTGTCTGGGCTTATTCTGTGAGTTGGACTCCTTTGCAGATCAGATTTCCAATTGGTGTAGGCTTCTGACTGTTGTTGGAGTTGGATTCCCAGTAGGAATGAGCTTGCGATCCTCCTTGACCTGGTTGTCCAACTTGTATAAATACAGGGCTTCTCTTCACTCTTTCTTACATCGCAAACTTAACTTCTCTACTTTCTAGCTTGAGAAAGATCTTGGAGAATTTTGTACTGCTTGTCGAAGAGAGGAGTTGCCGTGCATCCCAAAGTAAGTCGAGCACGTAAATTTTTCTTCGTCTTCTCTTTTTCAAGGCGAGGACCAGTTGGGTGGGACCAGGCTGGTTGTCGTCGTGACTGGCGGCCAAAGACGATTGGAGCGGCGGTGGCCGCTGGCGTCTGCTGAGCGACGATCAGGAGGAAGTTGGTGGACTGCCCCCTGCTAAGGATGTCGATAGATGGAAGCAGGATGGTCCGAGCCTTGATGATTTGCCTGCTGGACATGAGGAGTGTTTTGCTAAACTCCCCTAAAAGAGGAAGGCTGATGTCAGTCTTCGAGAGCTCAAGCCTGATGAGTTTGGAGATCGTGATATGCTCCGTAAAGTAGTCCGTGCGCGATCTAGCTCACTTGTTGAGAGGCAAAGAGATGCGGATGCTCCTTTTCCGAAATTTGAGTCGTTTGTACCAGTCGAAGATTGGAAGTCGATCTGGGGCAGTCTGCTCATCCATCCAACCATCATGTTTCAACTGTTGAGTCACGAGCAGTCAAGCATGGAGTGGATTCATCGTCGCCAATTCCTTTGGAAGTGAGGTTGACAGAGGCTAAGAAAGCAAGAGAGTCATTTGCCTGGGCGAAGGGCTCTTCTGCAACGTCAGCAGCTGATCCCAAGGTGGACAAGTCCACCCCTGCAGAGGATGCAGGCGTGTCTGATCTGCTCAAGACGAACTTTCTGTCAAGTCCATCCACTTGTGCTGAGCTGGTTCATCAAATCCGTCAGGCTGGCGATCTTGGTACTTTCCCAAGTCTTTCCTTGGAAAAACAAAAGGAAGCAACATTTCTTCTCCTTCAAAAAGGAGGTGGGGGCAGACGTGGAGGATCAGGCAGGTGGAGCTGCTGAGAGTGTGGCTGATCAGACGGACGCTGAAGTGGATGCAGATCAAGGATCTCTGCTGGCGTCTCGGAGTAGATGAAGACTTCTTTATTTCTTTTCAGCTTTTGTAGTCTGCTTTCTCATTTAGAATAATTGGTCTTGCTTGGCCATCTTCTTTTTGTTGAACTTTGGCCGGTTGGTCACTTTACTAAGGAAATTTCAGTTATTTTTTCAACTTCAATTTGCATAGTGTCTTGTGAATTGCTTGAGTGTTTCTGGGTTGAGGCATGTTTTGCCTACGTCCGGAGATGTGTCGATGAGGGTGGCCCGTTTGGCCTATGTCTGGAGACGTGTCGATGAGAGTGACTCGTTTGGCCTACGTCCAGAGACGTGTCGATGATAGTGGCCCTTTTGGCCTATGTCTAGAGACGTGTCAATGATAGTGACCCGTTTCGCCTACGTCCGAAGACGTGTCGATGCGTGTGACTCGTTTGGTCTACGTCTGGAGACATGTCGATGATAGTGGCCCGTTTGGCCTACGTCCAGAGACGTGTCGATGATAGTGGCCCGTTTGGCCTACGTCCGGAGACGTGTCGATGTGTGACCCGTTTGGCCTACGTCCGGAGACATGTCGATGATAGTGGCCCGTTTGGCCTACGTCCGGAGACGTGTCGATGTGTGACCCGTTTGGCATATGTCCGGAGACGTGTCGATGATAGTGGCCCGTTTGGCCTACGTCCGGGGACGTGTCGATGTGTGTGACCCGTTTGGCCTACGTCCGGAGACGTGTCGATGATAGTGGCCCATTTGGCCTACGTCCGAGGACGTGTCGTTGTGTGTGACTCGTTTGGCCTACGTCCGGAGACGTGTCGATGATAGTGGCCCGTTTGGCCTACGTCCGGGGACGTGTCGTTGAGAGTGGCCCGTTTGGCCTACGTCTGGAAACGTGTCGATTGCTTTTGTGAATACTTCATTGGAAAGAAAAGCTTGAACTTGTATTGATGTCTGTATGACTACATTGCCCTTGGAGGTGATGGGTATTTCATTGTCTTAGAACTTCCTTCCATTGAAAGATGATGAAAGGTTCGTCTTCCACAACTTGGTAGCTAGTGACGGCTTAGGAGACGGAAGTCGCCTGCTTGATCCTTCTCTTTTGCCCCCTGGTGGTCAGTCTGGGCTTTTGGAGTCAGCTAGGATCGTGTTGATCCATATGACCTTTTTCGTGGAGGTTCATCGTTAGCTGCGTCACAATCCTTGATTTGCTGGATAGCCCTCCTTGCGATGAATTCGTGCAATGGCCGTCTCTGACTAGATCTTCAAGGTGCCTTTTCCAGGCGAAGCAGTCGTTTGTGTAATGACCATGCCCTTCATGGAATGTGCAGTATCTACTGGTATCCTTCTTGGTTGGGTTTCCCTTTAAAGGCGATGGTTTCTTCAACCAAGGCATGTCTTTTACTTGGGCCAGGATCTGGTGTATCGGGATAGTGAACTTGGTGTAGCTCTCCGCTGCTGAAACACCTTCCTGAGGCTGTGATCTGCGCTTGCCGTTCTCTTGGCTTGCCTGCTTAGCTACTTGATCAGCCTTCTTCGTGGCGATCCGGTCGTCGTCCCATAATGCGTAGCGCTCTGCTATAGCGAAGACTTCTACCAGTGTTTGGCGAGGATAGATGGTCAACTCGCGATACAGCTCACATTCAGTTGGCAACCCCCTCTTGAAGGCAGAGAACGCAATTTGGTCATCACATCCTACAGTGTTTGCCCTCTCCGCCTTGAACCTCTTGATGTAGTCTCGCAGGGATTCATTGGACTTCTTGTGCAGGTTGAACAGATGGTCAGGATTCTTCTTGATTGACCGATAAGAAGTGTATTCTTTAGTGAAGACATAAGCAAGCTCCTTGAAGCTGTTGATCGACCCGATGGCAGGGTGTGGAACCAGTCCTGAGCTGCTCCTCGCAATGTCATTGCAAACGCCTTGCACATCAGTGCGTCGTCGGCCTTGTGGAGGATCATGACACTTTTGAAGTGTTTTAGGTGGCTCTCGGGATCGGAATCTCCCTTGAAATGCGTAAAAGAAGGCGTTGAGAATCGCTTCGGGGGAGCAGCCTGCTCGATTTCAGGGGTGAAAGGAGTAGAGATCGCCTGGTCCATCTCCTTACGTAGTGCATCCTCGAGGTTCCCGCCAGTCTTCAAGTCTCGAAGTCAGTCATTCACAAGCTTCTCAACGTCTTCCGCGCGCAGTGCTGGTCGATCACGTTGGCGACTTTTGCGATTCGGGCGACGCTGATTGACCTCCTCGTTGGTCTGCAAGGGTCGGTCCTCTTTTTTTTTTTTTTTTTTTTTTTTTTTTTTTTTTTTTTTTTTTTTTTTTTTTTTTTTTTTTTTTTTTTTTTTTTTTTTTTTTTTTTTTTTTTTTTTTTTTTTTTTTTTTTTTTTTTTTTTTTTTTTTTTTTTTTTTTTTTTTTTTTTTTTTTTTTTTTTTTTTTTTTTTTTTTTTTTTTTTTTTTTTTTTTTTTTTTTTTTTTTTTTTTTTTTTTTTTTTTTTTTTTTTTTTTTTTTTTTTTTTTTTTTTTTTTTTTTTTTTTTTTTTTTTTTTTTTTTTTTTTTTTTTTTTTTTTTTTTTTTTTTTTTTTTTTTTTTTTTTTTTTTTTTTTTTTTTTTTTTTTTTTTTTTTTTTTTTTTTTTTTTTTTTTTTTTTTTTTTTTTTTTTAAAAAACCAGTTGAGGCTGAATTAGATGAGAGTGATAGAGCTTTATTTATTTCTTGTAAAGTTGTAAGATTTTAGAACTATTTTTTAGAAGAGAAGTTTATTTTAAACCCATGTTTCGGCTTCTTTTTATTTTATTTTAGTTTTTATTTTCTCACGCACCAAGCGCAGGGTTTTCACTGACCCCGGGTCCTGGGCGTGACAGTTACGTTTGGGGACAATATTGGTGTTGTTAGTAATGGGCACTGGCCCGTCTCTCTGAATTTAACATGGTATCAGAGCGGTTTGATTGACTGGGCCTGAATTTGGCCTTTACCCTTACCCAATATGTAATGTTCACATGTTGGGCTTGAATGTTTACCTCTACCCTTTACCCAATACGTAGTGCTCATGTGTTGGGCTTGAATGATCGACTTCGATGTGGACTTGGCTCCACGTGTGGCCCACTATGCGGTGGTCCCACGTGAGGGGTTGTGTTGAAGAATATGAGTCCCGCATCGAAAACTTAACTAAATAAAATACAATATATAATGAATGGTTCAACTACTAATATCACTGAGGCCTTTTGTGATAAAACCCACACCTACTAGGCTTTGTAGGTGGTAAGTTGGGGACAATATCGTGTTGTTAACACCTTTAAGGTAAAAAGTACGATCCAAAGTTGAAATATTTTAAAACCTACAGTTCTTTGATTTACCTTTGATTTGAACCAGAAGTTTCGGAAGATTTATTTTATTGAAATATTTTTATTATTACTGTTGATGCTCTTTTTGGGAGGTCAACTTAGAGGGAAGTGGATAGTCTTTAGCAGGGGAGAAGGTGAGGACCTTCGGCAATGGAAGAGCCTGCAGAAGACAAAGTAGGAGAAGCAGTCATTAAGCTTCTTTCACCGGTGTGGTGCCGGCCGAAGGCTCTCCGATGCTTATGTCAGCTATGGGTGGTAAAAGTGGCAGAGTAACAGTAAAAGTGAGAGAGAAGTTACCCTTTTTACTTGGGCACTGTTCCTTATTTATAGGGAAGTGAAAATGGGAGCTTTGCACAAAGTTTCGATGTGGGACTTTGTGCAAGTCACTGTGGTGGTGACACGTGTCTTGGAGATTAGGTTCAGCAATTGGGAGCTTCGGCAGGTGTCTGGCACCTCGGAAGGATGTTTTCCTTCAACAAGGAAGAAGGCGTGTCTGCCTTTGGTGCTAGTTGCTTTGATGCTGGATATGCTCGGTTGATTATCGTGTAAACAGTAGTCCCCCAAGTTCGCGGTCAAGAAGTAACTTCTGGGTTGGGAACTTGTGAGATTTTTGTGTAATCATGACCGAGCATTCTAGATTTAGTGGGAACCGTAGGGCATTCCCTAGTCCCCCAAGTTGGCAAGCTAGAAGTTGCGCCATCTTTGAAGGTATGTCTCCGGAAGAGAGCCTACGAGAGGGTGCTAGGTCTTCGGCATCGAGCCTAGGGCGCGACCTTAGCCTTGGCAAAGGGCCTAGGGCTTTGGTTAAGTAAAATTGTTGGGCTAGGTTGCGTAAAAGCTTCGGCAAGTCTTGGTTGTGGTTTGGGCCTCTCGGGTCTTGGCTCAAGAAGATTCGGCAAGGGCCGTTTGGAGAGTATTTTGTGAGCCCCTCTTCTTCTAAACTGTGCTTGCCGTTCGGCAGGTTTCCCTTTTTTTAAATTTTTTTTTAAGGGGAAGAATCTCTTGGGTCTTTATTTGTGTCAGCCCAATGTCTGCCGTTCTGCAAGCAGGCCAGGTTGACGCATGGGCATGACATTTGGTTACTTGGGGTGTGCACGGAGGGGCCTAGGTCCTGGTTTTGGGCTGAGCCTTAGTTGGGCTTCGGTGAGGGCAAAGTGGCATGGCCCAGGGTTAAAAGGCTTTGGCAAGGATGACCTTGGTTAGGGTTTTCTCAAACAAAGAGTGTTTGGCAAAAGCAACTAGCGAGGATCTTGCTTGAAGGGTGCCGCTCGGCAAGGTTTGACTGAGGGGAAAAATCGAATGACCGGTGGAGACCTCTTGCCGTTCGGCATGGATGGTTCCGAAGTGATGCGACGGTGAGACTTGGCTGTCTGTCTCCTTCAGTGTTCCGAAACCTTCTTCACGCCTACTACCGTTCGGTAAGCTAAATTTAGAAGATTTTGTTCGTGTCTTTTCGTAGAACGTAGGAGGCTTTGGCAAGTCTGGCTGGTACCGTTCTTATTTTCTGCATAACCCGAGTAATTTGGGAGCTGGGTTTGCAGTTGGGATCCTTAGTCAGGGATTTTTATTGAGCTGTGTATTTGTCGTAAGCCTCCAATCAATTTTTGAACAGCCCTTGCCGTTCGGCAAGGGTAAGGTCTTCCATCTTCGACAAGGGAGGTTTTTGTATTTTGTTGGTCTTGGCAAACCAGGGGCTGGCAAAGACATGTGGCAATTATGCGTAGACGAAGCATCAAATCATAATCGAGCTGGAGCAAGAGTTGTCGTAATCACCCCAAATGGAACTTTGTTGGAGCAGGTCATCACACTGGGCCTTCCAACTTCAAACAATGAAGTAGAATATGAGCCATTGCTCGCCGAATTGCGCCTAGCAAAAGAACTATTGATCAAGAAATTGGCCATCTACTCAAACTCCCAATTGATTACAAATCAAGCTTCAGGAGAGTACATGGCAAAACATCCGAGAATGGTTAAGTATCTCGACAATGTCCAAGAACTTTTGAAGGAATTCCCCACTTTCACCATCCAACAAATTCCTCGGGCAAAGAACACTCATGCAGATGCACTGGCAAGCCTAGGATTAGCGCTGGACACCCAGTTCAAATGCTCCATCCTGATCGAACACCACTACCAGCCAAGCATTGAAGAAATAGAGCAAGTAGACTCAATGCGAATTGATGAGGACCCTAGCGGGCAAGGCACCATCATTGACTACTTGGCAAATGGAAATCTGCCGATGAATAGGGTAAGGCAAAGCATGGTAAGGTATGGCAAGGTAAAGCCAAACCCCAAAAAATAGGGTAAGGCAAGGCAAAGAAAGTCAAGAACAAAGGCAAGGTCAATGGGTGTGACCACAGGGGAAACACACCAGCAAAGGCATGAGCAACAATACTAGCACCATAACAGGCAACAACAATAATACTGGTACCAACAAGAGCAATACAAAGCACTAGCACCAGCAAGAGCAACAAGGTAGAGACATAACAGGCATCATCAAACAATAATCAACACTATCCCCAGCAAGAGTCATAACAGCCAAGAGCAATAACATTGTCCCCAGCAAGAGACATAGGGGAAACACACCAGCAAAGGCATGAGCAACAATACTGGCACCATAAAAGGCAGCGGCAATAATACTGGTACCAGCAAGAGCAATACAAGGCACTAGCACCAGCAAGAGCAACAAGGCAAGGCATGAGCAATAACATTGTCCTCAGCAAGAGACATAATAGGCATGAGCAACAACACTAGCAACATCAACAGCAGAGACAACTTCTCTTCACTCCCCCTCTCCCCCTGAAAAGAAGGGGTCGATGAAGCCATATGATCAGTGGTACTTGAGAAACAGGGACGGACAATCAGCCATGGCAGATAGGTAGGTGAATTGCAGCGGAATAGATGAGAATTGCAACGGTGTCACTCGGGTCAAGCCTTTGAGGTTGTTTAAGTAGGTTGGGTGACAGATCGGCCATAGGAGTACTCCGGGAGATAACCCCGGGCAACAAATGTCGAGCATACGACGATGCCGCCCATTTTCATTTCGTGGAAGTCCTCGGTAGAGGAAAGGGCTGTAGGTGGTGGTGTATTCTGCTTCTTATCTAGAGAGAGGCGCTGAAATCGTTCATACTGGGTCGTCCGTGGCAGCTGGTATAGATGAATAAAGGCGGGCGCCGAAAAGGAACTAGCCCAGCCTCTTCAAGAAAACTTTGCTTGGTAGGCGCTACCTATTCACTTGGACAATGCTCTGAAGATGAAAGTGTTCAGTTCCGCCCCCTTCTCCCATGCTGAGTCACATGCAGCGCCTCAGAAAGCGAAAGCAAGAACGAGCCACATGCAGGGAAACTTGCACATGTGGTTATGGCCGGGGACCCCGGTATATTGCACTAATATATGTAGGTCCCCGTAATTCGAGTGAGATTGTCATGGTGCAAAAGCAGATATGATCCGGTATTCCCCTGTTCCCTGTATTGGTTATGTTCTTCATTTCTCGTCTAGCAGAAACTAATCGAGCTCCATTTGATCTCCCAGAAGTGGAAACTAAATCAGTTGCAGGCTATAATGTAGAATATGCGTGGGATGCGATCCTTAGTAATCCACTGTTGGCGGAAGCCAATGTCCTGGCCTCAAAAATCGAATTATCGAGGCAGAGTTAGAAGAGGCCCAGAAAGAACTTAGCTTATGGGAAGAGAAGGGAACGCACTATTTTAAGGAGGAGGCCTGCCTCTATTGTGCCCGGCTGGAGGGAGAGAAGATGGAAAAAGACTTCTATTCTCTCGAAAAAAGGGTCAAGAATCTCCGCCTAGAGCATAGGCGGTTGCTTTCACTAATCGTATCACGTCGGGGCTAGAGTGCTTTTCAAGCACTTAGCTTCTGCTAGTGGGGGAGGCACTTCCTTGCGCTACATAGTGAGTGAGTGAAGGAGTCGGTTACTTTGTTGGTTGTTCCTCCCTCCTTTCTTTCATAACCTACTACAGCTAAAGAAGCATTTCTCCCTGTCTCTGAAAATAGACTGAGAGCTTTATTGAGCACGACAGAAAAATTGCATTTATGGGGGGATATAAATACCTCTTAACGCCTGATCTCAGTGTAGCTTCTTCGCTTATGAGGCACTTAAAAAAGATAAAAATGGAATTTTACTTTTAATAGGAATCGGGGTTGTAGTAAGTGGGGAGTTTTACTTTTTTGTCGGGCTCCACAAAGCCTTTGGCCGACATTTGAATATGTAACATCATAACAACGAATAGGAATGAAACGACTATAGCTCCTATATGAACTACTGGGAAGATCATTGCGAAGAAGTCGAGACCTAACAAAAGAAGTAAACCTGAAGTGTCGCGAAAGACTGGAATGGGAAACAAAACGGAATGTACTAGATTTTTTGCATGTGCAACCATCAAACCAGAGACCAAAGTAGGGCTCAACAATACGGAAAGTATCATGACTTATTAAGATTCACTTGTAGTTCCACTTCTTGCTCTAACAGAAAGACTTTTTAGAAATCTGGTTGGTCCATGGATAGTTTCATTCGACACATACACTGATCAGCTAGAGGTCTTTTTACTTTCATTTGGGCCATGGTGGCCAATGCTCCTAAGATCATAGAAGCAATGTTGCAGAAAAAGAAGATTTGTTGCAATGTAGCTCCATAGGAACCATAAATAGAAACACGTGAAATATTTGCAGAAATAGAAATTTTAGGCGAAATAGAAAGGAATGCTGTAACTAGGGTGGGTGAACCCTTATAGATATCAGGTGCCCACAGATATAGAGTTAAAACAGATGTGGAGTCCGAAGGGGAGGGGGTTTTCTTCAGGGCTCGAGAGAGGGAATAAATAGATATGAGGGCCCCGCAAGTTTTTAATTTGTTGCAGGGGAATTTACACGAAAGGGAACGAGGAATTCTCAACGAAAAAAGTGCTCTCTGAATCGAATGTGAAAGTAGTTTTCCATCAAACGGCTGTTCCCGTAACTCCATTCTCGACTTGGATTATATATCCAAAAAGGTCCGCTCTCGACCATTCGACACGCCTCGAGCACTATAATCCGACGGACCGACCTAGTGATAGGAAGAGAACGAGTAGTTCGCAACTGGCAAGCGATCAATTGGGGATTGATTTAGTGCCCTATTACAGAAGGCCGATGGGTAGACCCAATATCTATCAGTACTCGTGATCCGGGGAATACCTAGGGAACTTATAAGGCCTCTACATTGAGGGAAACCCTGCTGTATGTGAAAAAAAGAGAAGTTAACTGTTGCATAGCCTCTGTTTTCATTGGGCATTGGAACAATCACAAGTGCAGGAAAGAACTTGTTGATATAAAGATCTCTTTCCATATGGTCTTAAGTTGAGTATAGTACTTAGCAACAGTCATATCCCCCTGACTAAGATTTTGGACTTCTTACTCAAGCTGGAATATCTTAGCTTCATTTCATATGGAATAAAGATCATGGAAATAAAAGACCATACCTGTTTAGCCGATGCCATAAACATAAGACTGGTAGCAATTGTAGGCTCAATTGCACTGAGAAGCCATGACATGACCAGCTGATTTGTGGAACTCCAGTCAGCCATCTTGGTCTCATTCATATTGGGGATCAGAGACAGAAGGACAGCGGGCTGATACATGAAGCTCCATAAACGCTTTCCTCCGACCAGTCTTGTGGTGGTACGGAAGGCACAGACTCCGCGAACGTCATGCGCCCCCTTTACTAATAAAGGAAAGAAAGCCTCAACCAGAACCACATTCCTTTTGCATGCAGATGTAGCTAAGTGTCTGATTCTATTGGTCATAGTTTCCTGCTGTTGTGGCCGGTGCTAGTTTGCGCGCACGCGTGAACCAACCCAAGAAACAAGGAAAGAATGCCTCTCGAGGAATCTGAGAACGATTCGAGCCGTATGAAGGGAAACTCTCACGTACAGTTTTTTTTTTTGGGTGGGGGGTGGGGGGGAGCCCCACAAGGTCCCCCCACTGACTTGGCCTAGGCCTAAGTGAAAGTGAAGTGGTGGGCCTACCCATCCCAACCAGGGGTATGGGATTCGCGAAGAGCAGCACCTTACGTTCATGACCAATCAATCCTGACGTACCAATAGGTACCAGAGGAGATCGCTATGATTGTTACTGTATCCGTATTGAGGAGATGCGACAAATTGTTTGGATCATTGTGCAATGGGGTTCGTCATTTATTGACGGATTTTTCGGGATTTATCTTTCTTAGAATTGGAAAAATATTGAAATGACTGTTCAAAATTTCACCTATACCTTGATATTCAAATAATTTATATTTTCTTCTGAAATGTTTAGTTTATTATTATAAGCGTTGATAGCTCTCTTCTTTAAGGCTTATTATATAAGCTAACATCCTTTAAGAAAGGCTCGAGAATAAATACTTGAGCTGATCTGCTTTCGATATGAGCCGAACGGGATGTTCCAGGAGATAGTGTCTGAGCTTTTGTACTGCAAACACAAATGCCAGTTATATATTTTCTATGTTTGAGTAATTTCACTCTGCGCCTACCAGGGTACGACTTAGATAGTCTAGAGCAACACTACCTTTCCTTTTCAGCATGGTGCTCACTGAACCTCTGTAATATCTAACAAGTCGAGTCTTATGTCGGTCATATAGAACACCAACACATAGAAAAAGGGCTAAAGGAACCAGTCCATGACTTAACATCGGTAGAATGCTACCTCCAATTCCCTGTATGTTTGATAAAGGCAAATATTCTCCCCCACTGATCGAAGTATGCCGATTACCCCCTGAACCGTACAAGATAGTTACCACCTATCATATGGCTTTCTAACTTCACTTATTTTTCTAGTCGTTCCTGACAGGACCTGACCCAAATTCCACTTTGAAACTTGAGCCGAACCCTGTGCGTGTCCGACACCTGGTGGCTGTCAGGCACAAATGTCCTAACTGCCCTCCGATACAAAAATTCAATAAAATAACAAGCTTGACTCCTACCAAAAATTCGGCAGAGTCTCCCCTGTAATTTGATCATTTCCCAAATTTTACCCATGTCAAACAAGCATATTGTTGAGGCCCAAAAATCCAAGGGGCTAAGCCCAAATTAATTCCTAGCCCAACACGGATAAGAGGGTACGAAAAGGCTCAATCGAAACAAAAGAGCATTTGTGGGACCCGCTAATACATGCTACCAGCCGCGCGTCATGCCATTAGGTGTTACTTGACCCGGAATAATAAAACTCAAGCACAAGCTAGGCATCATGCGAAAAGAGCCATTATTCTACCACCAAGCTATGTCACAAGTGGACCCAAGCCACAAAATTAAACCGGGGCTTACTGAGAAGGTTGTGGCATGGAGGGGAACGAGCAATCACAAGGCCCATTGAGGGTTCAAGGAACGTAAGTTTTAAGCCACTTGGGGCTCTAGAACTCGAGCCCGTTCCTGGCACCCAAACACATGGGTTAGCATGAGAGAGAAGAGAAAATGGTCCCATGCTTTAAAATATCCATTGGCCTACCATAATGCCTAGCCCAACCCATATCAATAGAATGCCCAAGATTAACAAAGCCTTTCCAGCAGTCTGACGGAGACCCATCGCATGATCAGACCCACAACCCAATACCATATACACAAGTCCAGCCCAGCAACTTGCAAAAGTCTGGCGCTAAGTCCCATTCCCGTTAGAACCCCAAATAGCTGTCACAAGGGAGCCATGGCAGGACCAGAGGAAAGCCACGGAGGTGAGGGGAGTGTCCATTGGATAGAAGGCTTCATCTCTCCTCTTTTCCTCTGTAATCTATGTCTTGAAAAAACCATAAGAAAAGCAGGTGGCGCCTTCCCCTCTATGGGAAGGTCCAGCTGCGTCAAACCATTGGAACCACAAAGGGTTCCTTACCCAGGCTTCTTGGATGGAGAAATTCATCAAGAAGGATAAAGTGGAAGAGGGCAATGACAAAAGGAGGAAAAAATTGAGACAAAATTTAGGGTTCTTCGTGGCTATAAAAGGGACCTCTTCAACCCAGCAAAAATCAACAATCCAGAGCCTGACCAAGCTGTGTCAAGCTACCTGGAATTTACTCAAGCCACCCAATCTTCCTTCTTCGTTTGATTTTTATTCTTCCTTTAGGATAGAAATCGTTCTAGTTCTTCTCTGCCTCACTTCAGATTTTTCACTCTCAGTAGGAAATCCATGCTTCTCTCTCTCTCAAATTGCTAAACTTGTGAAAGTTTAGCTCCCATGCCACAGGCTCCTCAAGCTAAGCCATTAATTGATTTTATCATGCTTATTTGGCAATTAGTGAAGAAAACCTAAGGATGTTCTTCTAAGGTTTATCAAATCTTTCAAGGACTCCTTTAGGAGTTTGGTTCCAGAACTCGGACACTTGGGGAATTTCTGTGCGTTTTCTTCTTACGGCAGCCCAAGCCCATTCATCAGGCTGCTGGAACAAAAAGACCCCTACATAAATTGGCGACTCTGTTGGGGATCAAGCTGTTGTTTTCACTAAATGCCTCCAAAAAAGAAGACTAGAAGCAATACCATGGCTTCCCAAGATGGATCCGACCATGGTGATTCCGGATCACGGCAAAATGCCTCCTTTAGGGAACAAGAACGTGCAAGTGAGGGAACTTTCACTCTCATAGATCTCATTACCGCTATCAGGCTATGGGGGAAACCCAGAGGGAGATGATGGATACTATCAAGGAATTAAAAAATGCCGCCTCTAAGCCAGGTGAAGACGACGACAGGCATCCACAAGAAGAATCTGCTGCTGCTGGGAAGGGGTCTGAACAAAAGGGACCATCTTTTGTTACCCAGGAAGATGTCGTTGCCATGCTGGAAAAAGAGCTTAGTCGAATCCAGGAGGATTGGAAATACATTCCTCAGCCACCATACCCGTCCAGCTTACTCCAGCAGCCTTATCCCAAAGGTTACGAAACACCGACCTTTGTTCTTTTCGATGGGAGGAAGGGAAGCCCGAAGGAACATGTCAACCGATTCCTCGATGCCTTAGGACCACATGCTGGTGACTATAATCTTCAACTCCGCGAATTCTCAAAAAGCCTCACTGATCGGGCTTATACCTGGTACACCACGTTGGCGCCAGGTTCTATGCGTTCTTGGGATGACCTGGCAAGCAGGTTTTGTAAAAAATATTTTCAGCACGAGGAGAGGGTTACCACCACACAGCTCAACAACACTCGCCAAAAGCAAGGGGAGGATCCTGTGGACTTTTACGAAGATTCCGGGACTTGGCTCTCGACTGTTATGACGAAAAAGATGAGGAGGCACTTATCGAGATTTGCATCAGTAACATCATGGCAGATTACAGAGTTTACTTGGAGAATATTGGCATCAGTCAATTTTCTCAGCTGCTGGAAGCAGTAAGGAAGACAAGCATGTCTGTCAAGCCAACCGGGCAGAGAAGTTGGAGGAGCGAGAAGAAGGAAGCCCATCAAACGCTGGCCATAAATGATAAGTCATCCAATGACTACAACTCACGCAAAAGAAAGGATGGGAGACATACCCTTCATTGCCGTGCAAGGACGAAGAATTTCATGCCATTCTTGACACGATGATTGCTGACGGCGCAATCAAGCCCCTTAGGCCCTACAAGGTCCCTACTAGGGAAGAAAAAAATGATCCCAGGTACTACCGTTACCATCAATTTGTAGGGCATCCAACTATTGCCTGCCAGAGCTTAAGGAGGATCTTACATGGTAAAATAAACGAAGGGGTTCTTGAGCTTCCCTCTAGGAAGCAAACTATCGATGAGGATCCTTTACCAAAGCGAAGGGGAAAAGAGGTAGCTGCTGTTGTAACATGTTCTGACGATCTGCTCGATGATGATGAACTGTGTCACCCATGGAAGAACGACCCGAAGCCACCTGAGGCTATTTGGGAGCCTTGTGGAAACATGGAGAAAGCTTACTGGCAAAAATATTCAAAACCTTCAAGCTACAATATGCGATGGCCACTTGTTGACGGATGGGACGGCTGTGCAGACAACGAAGTATTTATGTTGGACATGCCGGAAGAACAATGCCTGGGAACCTCCTCTGGGCAGCAGGAAACGGCTGCTGTAACATTTCATGCTCTTACAGAAGCTGAGGCAACTGTAATGGAGCGTTACCTAGGTTTGAAGCAAGGACCTACAGCTTCGCAAGTTCTCCAAAGAAATCCAAAGTTCAGTCACTCTTCGACCAGCTTGGTTTTGGACCTCAGGCAAGGGAAGCAGCTGTTGTAGCTCTCATGAACATTTCCGCAGAATCTAATCCCCATTGCTTCGCCGCTCAACCCCAAAGGTCATTCTTGGAAAATGATAATGCTATCGTTTTCACGGATGAAGACATGGAGGTCCCATATCCGGATCACAGGAGGCCACTTTATTTGGAGGGACAAATCAACGATGTATTTATAAGAAGGGCTTTGGTAGACACGGGTTCCTCTGTCAACATATTACCCTTGTCCGTGCTTACAGCAGCTGGCATTCCATTATCCAAAATTGTCCAATCGCAAACAAGCATTAGTGGTTTCGGGAACAAGAGTGAAGTCACAGTCGGGCACATGCAAGTAAATTTGAAGGTTGGACCGATTCGGTCACTTACTAAGTTCTATGTCGTAGATGTGGATGTGGCTTATCATGCTTTGCTTGGGAGGCCATGGCTTAATAAGCATAAGCTTGTGGTCTCTACTTACCATCAGTGCATGAAGGGAAGGATTGGGCTAAGGCCGCTACGAATACCCGGAAATCAAGCACTGTTCAACAAGAATGAAGCTCACTACTCTGAGGCGGAGTTTTACACTGAATGCACAGGTGCTGGAAGCAACCCGTCCAAGGATTTCGGGACTTACCTTCCTTCGTGGACTGAAATTCGTGATCTAAGCAATGAGGAGCTCATCACCATTATCGACTGAGAAAGAAAGAGACACTCGAAGGTCAACAATCATGCCTATGATCATCCTCAATGCTCGAAAGTAATGCTTCTCGATGGGCGCACAGTGTACCGCTTATGACGGGATTGGGGGCTCGACCAAGAAGGCCAAGAATGCAACAAAGGATTCCTCCCACTCCAACCAAGATGCGTCGGATGGATGTTCTGCAGTAGTATTCCCGGCAGCAACGATAGCATGGGCATTCTCGGCAACACTTACATCACCAGATGAGGACGCTGGAAGAAGTGCTAAGGGACCAGGCTCTGGCCCCCGGAGAAGCGGTTGAATGTGGGATGGAACAGGCAGTGTCCCATGAAAGGCAAAGGTGTTGCTTCGGAGAGTTGCCGGAAGAACTGGAGAAATGGCAAGCTCAAGGTCTCCCCGAAGGAAGTGCTGGAAGATAGGAGGCAACGGGTTTGTGATTCGAAACATGGATGTTGTGTCCTGGGAATTTGTTGGCGGCGTGGTTGGAAATGACTCCGCAAGGGCTGCCTAGACCAATCTGTCAAAGGTGTCGAAGGAGGGAGCCACCACGGGCACGATTTCCATGTTCTGGGCAACGTGCCCAACCTAAAAAAAATAAGATAGGTACAAGGATCAGCACGAAATAAACAACAGGTTACGTGCACTAGCAAAAGAGTAAGAAGGGGATGGTGCCCAACAAGGAGAAAAAGAGAATATTAGTAATGAGGTACCTCAGGGGTGTTTTGTGCAAAGTCGATAGTGGCCGCAACAAGGTCCGAACCCTCAGCAATATCGGTGACCTGCGAGATGGGTACGGGTGGTCAGTAGGTATTTGGTGGTGCGAAGGAGGGGAAAAGAACATAGTTTAGGATAGGCCAAGTACCGGCTCGACACCAACAGGGCGCACATTGCTACCCACAGACCCAGAAAAGGTATTCGAGCCGCCTTGCTTTTCTGTATAATCGTCGAAAGGAACATCCCCATCGTGGTCATAATTGTCATTCCCATCGGGACCCTCATGCATGTCACCGATGTTATCCGTATCCTCTTGCTCCGGAGTACTAGCCTCGGACTCAGTAGTGCCACCATCATCGCTGTCATCATCAATTGTCACCACAGTTCTAGTTCCAAAGGCTTTGCTGCCGCTTGTACGAGCCCCAGTGAATTTTGCTTGCAAGACACGCATGCTGCGACGTTTTGGAGTAGCTTGTGGGACACGGAGGGTGTGCTACTTCTTCTCCTCTTTGGAGTGGTACCCATTTTCCCTATATATATATTTTAAAAAAACACGTGCGACAGGTTAAAAAAAATATAAAATAAAAAGAGGTGTGGTAAAAAAAAATTTTTTAAAGAGGAGGTAACACTTACTGCGGAGAGGGGTAGTTTCCAGCACCTTGCCAGCATGACCCCGGCTCTCGGATGCAGCAGGCTTTGAAGACTGTGGACGTTATGGGGGAGTTGCTTCTTTGGTTTGAGGAGGGCCACTTGGGGCTACCTTTGGAATAAACCTTTTGGGTTTACGGGCAATCTGCTTCTCCTTCACATTCTGCTCCTCCTCTCGCTTCCTTTTACCTGACACTAGTGTTGCATTTTTCCCGGAACCACAAGGACTCTGTACTCCCGGCTTTGGCTTTGTCTTAGGAAATTCTCCAACGATATCACCGCTCTTGGAAATAAAAGGCAAATTGCGTTTTTGGCTTAGAGGGATGGCTTTCTCTTCCAACACCAAGCCGGCAAGATGAGCTGTTGTAGGAGGCAATCTATCTCCAGGAAAAGATTGGAATTCACGCAAGGAGGCGAGGCAGCGGTTCCAGTAAGCTTGGTAACCTCGGGAGAAGCCGCCAATCCTCCTCTTGCTAGCTAAAACAAGGGGCCTACAACAGTTTGGTATAGGGTCATTGCTCCAGAAGACTCTGTGCAGCACGAAGGGGTCAGCATGGTTAGGACTGCTCGGTACTCCTTGATCAAGCCCAAACTGCCGCCTAACCCGATAAGGTGAGTAAGGTACAGAAATCTCCGAGCGACTGTCTCCAAGAGTAGGCAGCGGAATAGGAGTAACATTCAACATGGCATACTTTTTGAACTGGCTGCTTTGCGACATGGCCGCTAGAACCTCAACGGTGTCACTGACATCAGCATAAAAGGGCACGAAGGTGAAGGTCTCTGCCGAGGTGCCGTAAGGGCGAAAGACAAAGTTCTCAACGTTATCCAACAGCTTCAGAAAGTCTTGACCTTTCCTTTGCATTAGCTTAAACCATCTGTAGACTAAGGGAAGACTTTCCGGCATATAAGAACCCCTGCCCCAATCGGCCATCTTCATAGCATGCGAGTGAGGGAGTGAGTGTACCTCCAATCCTCTAAAACGCTCCCATAAAATACCTGCAGGAAACCAGAATTCAAGAGGGTCTCCACGCCCATAGTTCCGGATGCACTCTTCTCTAAAAGCTGAGCCTGATTAAGCAGCCGATATAGATGCCCCAAGAACATGGGGGCTAGGGGGATGGTATCGCCTCGAGCTATGGCCAAAGCCAAGGGGAATACACACTCATGCAAGCAATCCTGCAAAAAATCACAAAGTACGAACTGCCCAAGCCACAAAGCTATAAATGTAGCCAACCAGCAAGGTCCTTGTCTGTTTGCATCACCAAAATACTGTATCCAGTTACTGAACCGAAGAGAGGTGTTGGGAGAAGTAGGAGCACCTCTCCGCAAAATTGCAAGCTTGTCTACCTCTTCCGGGGTGAGGGCAATGTCGAAAGGACTCTGGTCGCCGCAAATTGGAAAGCGGGAGATATTCGCCACATCTTCAAGGGTAGGCGTAAATTCTCCCATGAGCATACAAAGGTATGGGTAGCAGCGCTCCACCTCCGGACCACATGACGAAGCATCTTCGTTTCAATATGGATATCCCACAGTTTGGAAAGGAAGATGGCATCCAGAACCTGCGCTCTGCATAAAATATTGCATGTGGACAGATCCAGCAGCTCACGGTCAACCCACTTTGACCAGCCCTTGAAAAAATAAGGGAACGGCTGGAAATAGGCCCTTCTCAAAGCAACACCTGGATATGGAGGCAGGTTCAACTATAGGAGCAGTTTTTGGCAATGGCTCATCACTGACAACGGGATTCTCAGGGGCGTCCTCAAGCAACAAGAGCGGCCCTCCTGCTTTGAGATTGTCATCCATGGAGTAAAGGTGGTCTAACATGATGGGCGGAAGGTCGGACGATGCCATAATAAACCCGCTAAGTCACGAACACCTGCAAAAAAAAAGAAAAAAAAAGAGGAATGAAACAAATAAGTTCCAGCACCCTCACTGACACTGAGCGATGTCATGCAAAAAAAAGAGAGGCCAAGCCACAGGGGTAAATGGTTCGAAGAAAGCCATGGAGTGGCTGGTCTGCATAATGCCTGCCCCTGCCCTTTCTACCATGCCTTGATACCATCTAGAAGTTTCATGGTTAAACAAGACAAGTTATTGCTTGAAGTATGCTTAAAAACCCTAATCAGTGGTTCATACCCAAAAAATTTTCGAACCCAGGCATAAATGATTGGGCGGATATACAGCAGAAAGAATTAAGAGGACACTCTGTTCATGGGAAATTCTCAAAATCTACATGTGTGGGCGTGTGATCTGTACATATATGTGCATATGCATAAATGCATGCGTCTGCAATGATAAGATGAAGAAGTAAGAGAAGAAATAAGAGGACGATGCTTACCACTGCTCTTAACGGTGTTTTCTAGCAGTTCGCGAAATCAGAAGAAAAAGGGGAACCGCCTTGCGCTTTCGCTGTCGAAATTGCTTCACGCTTTGCAGGGCAACTTTGCCAAGCCTGGGTTTTGACAGATTAAAGAAGAAATTGAAAATTTTGGGGGATTTTAAAGAGGAGCCGTGGCTTTTCCCAGATGTTGCGAGCGGTTTCTCTGAGCGTAACCAACTGGCAGTTATGGATGAAGCCTCCCTACGATTTCTTGTTCTCCAAAGGTTCCCTAAACCTGGGTGTGAGAAGGAACCAGCAAAAAAATCGAAAAGGGGGCAACCAGTTTTGGGGACTCGCGCGCACAAAAGAAAGAAGTCAGAGAACGAAAAGGAGAAAGAAGAAACAAAAAAAAATATATATATATATATATAGATTTGATGGAAGCGTACCTAGGGAACGTAAGAAACTGCTGGAAGATAATCATGGCAGCACACACGTGGGAAACGAGAAGGTCACATCAGCCGCAAGGATTTGATTTTTTGCTTTTGGGCCAGCATTGATTATTCGACCCATCTCAGGGTATTGCCCATGGCCCTAATAATCAAGAGGGGCTAATGTTGAGGCCCAAAAATCCAAGGGGCTAAGCCCAAATTAATTCCTAGCCCAACACGGATAAGAGGGTACGAAAAGGCTCAATCGGAACAAAAGAGCATTTGTGGGACCCGTTAATACATGCTACCATCCACGCGTCATACCAAGTAAGCACATACAAAGGGGCCAAAAACACACCAACTTTACAAAAATCATGCTCACATGTCCCATTAGGTGTTACTTGACTCGGAATAATAAAACTCAAGCACAAGCATAGGCATCATGCTAAAAGAGCCATTATTCTAGCACCAAGCTATGTCACAAGTGGACCCAAGCCACAAAATTAAACCGGGGCTTATTGAGAAGGTTGTGGCATGGAGGGGAATGAGCCTACCTTTCCAGCAGTCTGAAGGAGACCCATCGCATGATCAGACCCACAACCCAATACCATATACACAAGTCCAGCCCAGCTGCGTCAAACCATTGGAACCACAAAGGGTTCCTTACCCAGGCTTCTTGGATGGAGAAAGTCATCAAGAAGGATAAAGTGGAAGAGGGCAATGACAAAAGGAGGAAAAAATTGAGACAAAACTAGGGTTCTTCGTGGCTATAAAAGGGGCCTCTTCAACCCAGCAAAATCAACAATCTAGAGCCTGACCAAGCTGTGTCAAGCTACCTGGAATTTACTCAAGCCACCCAATCTTCCATCTTCGTTTGATTTTTATTCTTCCTTTAGGATAGAAATCGTTCTAGTTCTTCTCTACCTCACTTCAGATTTTTCACTCTCAGTAGGAAATCCATACTTCTCTCTCTCTCAAATTGCTAAACTTGTGAAAGTTTAGCTCCCATGCCATAGGCTCCTCAAGCTAAGCCATCAATTGGTTCTAGAACTCGGACACTTGGGGAATTTCTGTGCGTTTTCTTCTTACGGCAACCCAAGCCCATTCGTCAGGCTGCTGGAACAAAAAGACCCCTACACATATATATACAATCCAACTGCCAGCATGTGTATATATATATATATACATTCTAACATTTAAATCTAAGTTCTAGGGCAGGTTATCAGAGCAATCACTAAGAAATTACAAAAGAAGTCAACTCATTTACAGAAGAGCCCTACATCAGAATGGGGAAGCGCGGAAAGTGGGAACGGCCCTGTGGTGGATCACTATGCACGCGTATTGCCTGGGGGCGCAAAACATTGAAAAATGTGAGTAGACCAAAAACAAAGTTTTTGAAAAATAACATAAGAACATACTAACCCCACTGTAAAAACAGTTATAAAAACTGAATCAACTTCCTCATATATACTCGTACTGAACTCATGCATTCATATTTATACATATATTACCAAACATTAATCCTGCTGAAAGACATTGAAGTAAAGTTCAACCTACCACCTAGGTATACTTATTTGTTTTCGTCAATTCCCTTAATTACTATCTATTCCTCGTGTCACCATGGTGACACACCCTCGCAGGATTCAGGTTAGCCTGATCCGCCCTCCTCGCAAGACTCAAGGGACACTAGTTAACATGTTGACTTAATCGAAGACAATACTTAAAATACTTGGTTACCTAAGGCGATTAAAGAAAACATAACTTCCTAGAAGGTTTGGAATAAAAAAAACTAACTCTTTCTAATCTTAGAACTCTGTTGCCATCCTATCCGATTTCTAAAATCCTTATTTTCACTATTCTTTAGGTACTCTCGTCTCGGCAGCAAATAAATAAAATACTTAATCTTAGCAACACATGCTTGAAAGCCCTCGATCTATTGCATACTTATTCAAGATCAAATAATGAATTTAAATGGCATAAAACCATTTATGAAAGCAAAGGTCCACTCACTCCTGGTCCAAGCTAGCTGGACCTCTTGAAGGTCCTTCCTGCGGGTCGGTCCGAGCTCGTGTGCCTGATCAAACCATCATGAATATTTAATTAATAATACTGCTCGTTATAAGTATTTAATTAAAACCCTAACCCCCCGCTCCTAGAAGTGTGTGCACTAACTTTAGAATCGTTCATATGCCCACAAAAGCTTTCCTTACATTTGGAATGGTTTAGAAGTGCCTCGGGACTCAACAAAACACTAAAGTCCCAAAAGTCAACCCAGGGACTCCGTAGGTCCTCTACCTCTAAATTCTTATCCGGAAGCTCCTAGAGGTTCCAATATACCTAGGACCCAGGTCCTGAAAGTTTGATCTCGATCGGACTGTCGAACAAATCACGATCGTACAAATCGGCGGTTCCTGTAATCCTAGCCCTAGGGTTGGCATTTTCGGAGTATTCGGGGCTCCGATTTACGATCCGTCGAATCCTATATGATCCTGGAAATATCTAGATCAACATATCTGAAAATGACTACAATCGAACTGCTAAAACGTACCGAACCCTGAAATAACACAACAGGCGATATCAGTTCGGGGTTCAAACGTTATCCAAATTGAAATCCGCGAGTATCTATGCACTCGTAAGGACCAAGGGATCATTTTAGGACTGAATGCGGTCCCCACCATACTGCCCACGTGCCACCAAATGCGCTGGCAGCACATGGGCGGCTTGATAAATTTCTGGTCGTCGAAAAAACTCCAAACTACCAGAGGTTATGGAGGTTTGGAACGATCGGACGAAAAACAGGGGAGGGGAAAGACGTGGGAGAGAGGGAGAGGAGAGAAAAGAGGTTTTTCTAAAAAATATGCCTTGGCAAAGTACCATTTTGCCCCTCCACGTGTTTTAGCTGTATTTTCTTCGTTAAAAACCCAACTCGAGCCCACTACGTGTCTACAGACTCATTCCGTCACGCTCCACGCAACGGTGCAAGCGGAATTTCCAAATTCCTTCCCAGCCAAAAAGTCAACTTTTCCTTTAATAAACTATTCTAGGGGCAAAATTGTCTTTCTCTCTAATAATTAAATATTATTTAAGGACCGGGTTATTACAGTTCCGCTCTATCGATTGATGATAGTATAAGAGATCTGTAACTCCTTGAAATTATTTACATAATGGTTCCTGCTTCCTACCCATAGTTAGCATGTATCGCCCCGGGTCATACTTGAGTATCACATCGTAGACCCCCACCCCAACTCCATCTTCCTTATCAGTGAACCTGAAATAGTGCATAGGTATTCTTCAATGCAAGCAGGTATGAGAAGATGTGACATACTACGATGACGTACAGAAGTGCTGCCCTTTGGCTCGGCAATATGGAACCTCTCAACAACTCCCGTTCCTTTATGAGGTCGTATCGGGAGAGGGAATAAATAGATATGAGGGGCCCGCAAGTTTTTAATTTGTTGCAGGGGAATTTACACGAAAGGGAACAAGGAATTCTCAACGAAAAAAGTGCTCTCTGAATCGAATGTGAAAGTAGTTTTCCATCAAACGGCTGTTCCCGTAACTCCATTCTCGACTTGGATTATATATCAAAAAGGTCCGCTCTCGACCATTCGACACGCCTCGAGCACTATAATCCGACGGACCGACCTAGTGATAGGAAGAGAACGAGTAGTTCGCAACTGGCAAGCGATCAATTGGGGATTGATTTAGTGCCCTATTACAGAAGGCCGATGGGTAGACCCAATATCTATCAGTACTCGTGATCCGGGGAATACCTAGGGAACTTATAAGGCCTTTACATTGAGGGAAACCCTGCTGTATGTGAAAAAAAGAGAAGTTAACTGTTGCATAGCCTCTGTTTTCATTGGGCATTGGAACAATCACAAGTGCAGGAAAGAACTTGTTGATATAAGAAGATCTCTTTCCATATGGTCTTAAGTTGAGTATAGTACTTAGCAACAGTCATATCCCCCTGACTAAGATTTTGGACTTCTTACTCAAGCTGGAATAACTTAGCTTCATTTCATATGGAATAAAGATCATGGAAATAAAAGACCATACCTGTTTAGCCGATGCCATAAACATAAGACTGGTAGCAATTGTAGGCTCAATTGCACTGGGAAGCCATGACATGACCAGTTGATTTGTGGAACTCCATCAGCCATCTTGGTCTCATTCATATTGGGGATCAGAGACAGAAGGACAGCGGGCTGATACATGAAGCTCCATAAAGCTTTCCTCCGACCAGTCTTGTGGTGGTACGGAAGGCACAGACTCCGCGAACGTCATGCGCCCCCTTTACTAATAAAGGAAAGAAAGCCTAAACCAGAACCACATTCCTTTTGCATGCAGATGTAGCTAAGTGTCTGATTCTATTGGTCATAGTTTCCTGCTGTTGTGGCCGGTGCTAGTTTGCGCGCACGCGTGAACCAACCCAAGAAACAAGGAAAGAATGCCTCTCGAGGAATCTGAGAACGATTCGAGCCGTATGAAGGGAAACTCTCACGTACTTTTTTTTTTTTTTTTTTTGGGGGTGGGGGGGAGCCCCACAAGGTCCCCCCACTAACTTGGCCTAGGCCTAAGTGAAAGTGAAGTGGTGGGCCTACCCATCCCAACCAGGGGTATGCTGGGATTCGCGAAGAGCAGCACCTTACGATGTTCATGACCAATCAGATCCTGACGTACCAATAGGTACCAGAGGAGATCGCTATGATTGTTACTGTATCCGTATTGAGGAGATGCGACAAATTGTTTGGATCATTGTGCAATGGGGTTCGTCATTTATTGATGGATTTTTCGGGATTTATCTTTCTTAGAATTGGAAAAATATTGAAATGACTGTTCAAAATTTCACCTATACCTTGATATTCAAATAATTTATATTTTCTTCTGAAATGTTTAGTTTATTATTATAAGCGTTGATAGCTCTCTTCTTTAAGGCTTATTATATAAGCTAACATCCTTTAAGAAAGGCTCGAGAATAAATACTTGAGCTGATCTGCTTTCGATATGAGCCGAACGGGATGTTCCAGGAGATAGTGTCTGAGCTTTTGTACTGCAAACACAAATGCCAGTTATATATTTTCTATGTTTGAGTAATTTCACTCTGCGCCTACCAGGGTACGACTTAGATAGTCTAGAGCAACACTACCTTTCCTTTTCAGCATGGTGCTCACTGAACCTCTGTAATATCTAACAAGTCGAGTCTTATGTCGGTCATATAGAACACCAACACATAGAAAAAGGGCTAAAGGAACCAGTCCATGACTTAACATCGGTAGAATGCTACCTCCAATTCCCTGTATGTTTGATAAAGGCAAATATTCTCCCCCACTGATCGAAGTATGCCGATTACCCCCTGAACCGTACAAGATAGTTACCACCTATCATATGGCTTTCTAACTTCACTTATTTTTCTAGTCGTTCCTGACAGGACCTGACCCAAATTCCACTTTGAAACTTGAGCCGAACCCTGTGCGTGTCCGACACCTGGTGGCTGTCAGGCACAAATGTGCTAACTGCCCTCCGATACAAAAATTCAATAAAATAACAAGCTTGACTCCTACCAAAAATTCGGCAGAGTCCCCTGTAATTTGATCATTTCCCAAATTTTACCGATGTCAAACAAGCATATTGTTGAGGCCCAAAAATCCAAGGGGCTAAGCCCAAATTAATTCCTAGCCCAACACGGATAAGAGGGTACGAAAAGGCTCAATCGAAACAAAAGAGCATTTGTGGGACCCGCTAATACATGCTACCAGCCGCGCGTCATGCCATTAGGTGTTACTTGACCCGAAATAATAAAACTCAAGCACAAGCTAGGCATCATGCAAAAAGAGCCATTATTCTACCACCAAGCTATGTCACAAGTGGACCCAGCCACAAAATTAAACCGGGGCTTACTGAGAAGGTTGTGGCATGGAGGGGAACGAGCAATCACAAGGCCCATTGAGGGTTCAAGGAACGTTAGTTTTAAGCCACTTGGGGCTCTAGAACTTGAGCCCGTTCCTGGCACCCAAACACATGGGTTAGCATGAGAGAGAAGAGAAAATGGTCAAATGCTTTAAAATATCCAATGGCCTACCATAATGCCTAGCCCAACCCATATCAATAGAATGCCCAAGATTAACAAAGCCTTTCCAGCAGTCTGACGGAGACCCATTGCATGATCAGACCCACAACCCAATACCATATACACAAGTCCAGCCCAGCAACTTGCAAAAGTCTGGCGCTAAGTCCCATTCCCATTAGAACCCCAAATAGCTGTCACAAGGGAGCCATGGCAGGACCAGAGGAAAGCCACGGAGGTGAGGGGAGTGTCCATTGGATAGAAGGCTTCATCTCTCCTCTTTTCCTCTGTAATCTATGTCTTGAAAAAACCCATAAGAAAAGCAGGTGGCGCCTTCCCCTCTATGGGAAGGTCCAATTGCGTCAAACCATTGGAACCACAAAGGGTTCCTTACCCAGGCTTCTTGGATGGAGAAATTCATCAAGAAGGATAAAGTGGAAGAGGGCAATGACAAAAGGAGGAAAAAATTGAGACAAAATTTAGGGTTCTTCGTGGCTATAAAAGGGACCTCTTCAACCCAGCAAAAATCAACAATCGAGAGCCTGACCAAGCTGTGTCAAGCTACCTGGAATTTACTCAAGCCACCCAATCTTCCTTCTTCGTTTGATTTTTATTCTTCCTTTAGGATAGAAATCGTTCTAGTTCTTCTCTGCCTCACTTCAGATTTTTCACTCTCAGTAGGAAATCCATGCTTCTCTCTCTCTCAAATTGCTAAACTTGTGAAAGTTTAGCTCCCATGCCACAGGCTCCTCAAGCTAAGCCATTAATTTATTTTATCTTGCTTATTTGGCAATTAGTGAAGAAAACCTAAGGATGTTCTTCTAAGGTTTATCAAATCTTTCAAGGACTCCTTTAGGAGTTTGGTTCCAGAACTCGGACACTTGGGGAATTTCTGTGCGTTTTCTTCTTACGCCAGCCCAAGCCCATTCATCAAGCTGCTGGAACAAAAAGACCCCTACATAAATTGGCGACTCTGTTGGGGATCAAGCTGTTGTTTTCACTAAATGCCTCCAAAAAAGAAGACTAGAAGCAATACCATGGCTTCCCAAGATGGATCCGACCATGGTGATTCCGGATCACGGCAAAATGCCTCCTTTAGGGAACAAGAACGTGCAAGTGAGGGAACTTTCACTCTCATAGATCTCATTACCGCTATCAGGCTATGGGGGAAACCCAGAGGGAGATGATGGATACTATTAAGGAATTAAAAAATGCCGCCTCTAAGCCAGGTGAAGACGACGACAGGCATCCACAAGAAGAATCTGCTGCTGCTGGGAAGGGGTCTAAACAAAAGGGACCATCTTTTGTTACCCAGGAAGATGTTGTTGCCTTGCTGGAAAAAGAGCTTAGTCGAATCCAGGAGGATTGGAAATACATTCCTCAGCCACCATACTCGTCCAGCTTACTCCAGCAGCCTTATCCCAAAGGTTACGAAACACCGACCTTTGTTCTTTTCGATGGGAGGAAGGGAAGCCCGAAGGAACATGTCAACGATTCCTCGATGCCTTAGGACCACATGTTGGTGACTATAATCTTCAACTCTGCGAATTCTCAAAAAGCCTCACTAATCGGGCTTATACCTGGTACACCACGTTGGCGCCAGGTTCTATGCATTCTTGGGATGACCTGGCAAGCAGGTTTTGTAAAAAATATTTTCAGCACGAGGAGAGGGTTACCACCACACAGCTCAACAACACTCGCCAAAAGCAAGGGGAGGATCCTGTGGACTTTTTACGAAGATTCCGGGACTTGGCTCTCGACTGTTATGACGAAAAAGATGAGAAGGAAGCCCATCAAACGCTAGCCGTAAATGATAAGTCATCCAATGACTACAACTCAAGCAAAAGAAAGCATAGGGAGACATACCCTTCATTGCCGTGCAAGGACGAAGAATTTCATGCCATTCTTGACACGATGATTGCTGACGGCGCAATCAAGCCCCTTAGGCCCTACAAGATCCCTACTAGGGAAGAAAAAAATGATCCCAGGTACTACCTTTACCATCAATTTGTAGGGCATCCAACTATTGCCTGCCAGAGCTTAAGGAGGATCTTACATGGTAAAATAAACGAAGGGGTTCTTGAGCTTCCCTCTAGGAAGCAAACTATCGATGAGGATCCTTTACCAAAGCGAAGGGGAAAACAGGTAGCTGCTGTTGTAACATGTTCTGACGATCTGCTCGATGATGATGAACTGTGTCACCCATGGAAGAACGACCCGAAGCCACCTGAGGCTATTTGGGAGCCTTGTGGAAACATGGAGAAAGCTTACTGGCAAAAATATTCAAAACCTTCAAGCTACAATATGCGATGGCCACTTGTTGACGGATGGGACAGCTGTGCAGACAACGAAGTATTTATGTTGGACATGCCGGAAGAACAATGCCTGGGAACCTCCTCTGGGCAGCAGGAAACGGCTGCTGTAACATTTCATGCTCTTACAGAAGCTGAGGCAACTGTAATGGAGTGTTACCTAGGTTTGAAGCAAGGACCTACAGCTTCGCAAGTTCTCCAAAGAAATCCAAAGTTCCAGTCACTCTTTGACCAGCTTGGTTTTGGACCTCAGGCAAGGGAAGCAGCTGTTGTAGCTCTCATGAACATTTCCGCAGAATCTAATCCCCATTGCTTCGCCGCTCAACCCCAAAGGTCATTCTTGGAAAATGATAATGCTATCGTTTTCACGGATGAAGACATGGAGGTCCCATATCTGGATCACAGGAGGCCACTTTATTTGGAGGGACAAATCAACGATGTATTTATAAGAAGGGCTTTGGTAAACACGGGTTCCTCTGTCAACATATTACCCTTGTCCGTGCTTACAGCAGCTGGCATTCCATTATCCAAAATTGTCCAATCGCAAACAAGCATCAGTGGTTTCGGGAACAAGAGTGAAGTCACAGTCGGGCACATGCAAGTAAATTTGAAGGTTGGACCGATTCGGTCACTTACTAAGTTCTATGTCGTAGATGTGGATGTGGCTTATCATGCTTTGTTTGGGAGGCCATGGCTTAATAAGCATAAGCTTGTGGTCTCTACTTACCATCAGTGCATGAAGGAAAGGATTGGGCTAAGGCCGCTACGAATACCCAGAAATCAAGCACTGTTCAACAAGAATGAAGCTCACTACTCTGAGGCAGAGTTTTACATTGAATGCACAGGTGCTGGAAGCAACCCGTCCAAGGATTTCGAGACTTACCTTCCTTCGTGGACTGAAATTCGTGATCTAAGCAATGAGAAGCTCATCACCATTATCGACTGAGAAAGAAAGAGACTTACCTTACCTTCCTTCCCAATGGGCGCACAGTGTACCGCTTATGACGTGATTGGGGGCTCGACCAAGTTCTGCGGGAAAGCCCCGAGTATGGAGGAGAAGCAATGCAAGCTGACGGCCCACAAAGATCCAGATAACAAGGCACCTCTGCCTTGTGCCTTTCAGGAACCAATGATAGCGCCAAAGCACATGCAAGATGGTTCAATGGCAGTAGCCGAGCAATTGGAAACAATCAACTTGAGTGATGATCCCTTGGTCCAGAGACCCATCTCCATCAGTGTTCACTTGGCAAAGGAAGAAAAGGAAATTTTGGTGGCTTTGTTAAAAGAATTTCGGGATGTGTTCGCTTGGAGCTACGATGAAATGCCCAGTGATAGGCTTTTTAGTACCTGCGCAAACAGGGTTAAAACTCCTACAAAACTTGCAAGAATGACAAGGTTATTGTAGTATTAATGATTCTCGCAAGGTCGTTCTCCGCAGGGATTATTAAATAACTCATAGCAACCAAATTCTAATTAATTATTGTAAAAGAGAAAGTTGAGATGTTTGAATTGAAGACCTTAAATTAAAAGGAATTTAACTAATAAAAATAAGGCAATATGCAAAATTAAAGCTAAGAGCAAGAGAAACAGTTGTGTTTTTAGAAATCAAATTAAGAAAGCACTAGGGATCCGCCGTCACCTTAACAATTCTATATAGTTCCCCCAATTACTTATGATCTATACATGCATATTTCGAAGGTTAGGTATTCCTAATATATGCCTACTTGGACCCCCAACATAGAGCGTATATCATACATGCAATCCGTCTGTGGTATTCAGATCGAATCTAAACATGACTCATTAAGTTCTGTGAAACCTTTTGAAAAACCATGCAACCCTTAAGACGTGGTATTCATCCTAAGTGAACTTGCGCATATTAATCACAAGAAGCCTTCGTCAATTTCAGGGACCGACCTCCGACCAAAACTGCATCAAATTACTTTTCTAAACATCCTAATGGTGATCAAGCATCAAGACACTTAGATAGTTTAACCCAGTGATGAATAATTCGAAAACCTGCATGCATATAATCATAAGCAAATTGGACAGAAACTACATATTCTTGCTAAGGCTCGTGGCCTCACCCTAGCAAAAGAGAGTTAGTTACGCATGTTCACAATTGAAATCCAAAAATATCATTAAGAAGAATAAGAATGAAAACACCTGAAAGTCGCGAAAATCCAAAACCCTAGCAATTGCTCCAAAAGCCAAAAAGAAGTAAAAAGGGAGTCCCTAAATTGCTATGAAAAGGAGTTTAAATACCTCCTAAAACCTAGCTACCCAATCCCCACAAGGAAGCTAAGTTAAAATAAAATAATACTAGGAAATAAAGTCCAAATGGGTTTAGGAGAATCTGCCAATAATCTGGTCAGCCACGTTTTGGCCTCAAATCTCCTCCAAATCTGGCCCAAGATAGCTCGTTTTAAAGATAAAAATATTCCGAACACTTCTCCAGAAGGCCATGAACCCATCCGAGGTCATCTTGGGCTCCAAAAACGCAATACAAGCCCAAAACGTCACTATTCCAGCACTGCACATCGCTCCTTCATTTATTCGCCAGGAAATCATCGCTTGGTGGAAAAATCTGATATTTTGATACGATCAAGCTAAGTGGCTCATGAACGTCCTCCAACTGGAATTACTCCAAAATTCGTCCATTTGATTATGTTTTGCTCCAGAGGAAGTCGAAAGTCCTATATTGGAAATATAATTCAAAGTATCAAAATTCTTCCAAAATATTAACCAAAATATACTAAGAATGAGGCTAAATATATAATATAAAATCGACTCATCACCCAGCCTCAATCCAAATTTGGTAAGTCACACACTGAATATTGCGCTAGGTACCAAGCCTGTTGTACAGCCAAGGAGGAATTTTCATCCCGAAATCGAAAAGCAAATCAAGGTGGAAATTGAAAAGTTGCTAGCCGCTGGATTCATCAAACCAATCAAGCACCCGACATGGTTGGCAAACATTGTTCTTGTCAAAAAGAAGACTAGAGTAATTAGAGTATGCACAGACTACCGAGACCTCAACCGAGCTTGTCGAAAGGATGAATTCCCACTACCCAACATGGATATCTTGATCGATTCAACCTCAGGCCAAGGCATGCTATCCTTCATGGATGCGTTTAGTGGCTACAATCAGATCAAAATGTCACCCAAGGATGCCAACCTTTTCTGGGTCTGCGGGTAGCAATGTGGGCCCTGTTGGTGTCGAGCCGGTACTTGGCCTATCCTAAACTATGTTCTTTTCCCCTCCTTCGCACCACCAAATACCTACTAACCACCCGTACCCATCTCGCAGGTCACCGATATTGCTGAGGGTTCGGACCTTGTTGCGGCCACTATCAACTTTGCACAAAACACCCCTGAGGTACCTCATTTACTAATATTCTCTTTTTCTCCTTGTTGGGCACCATCCCCTTCTTACTCTTTTGCTAGTGCACGTAACCTGTTGTTTATTTTGTTCAAGCTACTGGATCTACCCTCCCTCTTTCCCTTTTTTTTTTTTTTTTTTTTTTTTTTTTTGTAACTTTTGCTTAGTGTATATATATATATATATAAGATGCTTGGTTGGCGGAAGTCTTTTGCTTGAGATTTTTCTACAGGTTGGGCACCCATGCAAATGGCTTTGACTTGGCATGTCTTCTGCAAAACAACCTTTCTCTCTCGCTCTTTTATTTTTTATTTTTTTTATTTTATTTTTATTTTTTTAACAAACACGTAGATTTCCACAAACAGTTTCTTTTTTTTTTTTTTTTTTCAAAAATACTCCTTCGCTTTCATTTCGAATCTCATGTTACCATCGAGGTACATTTTACAAAAGCTTACCCGAGTAGAAGCAAGCATATGGAAGGATAAAAAAATAAAAAAAAAAAAAAAAAAAAAAAAAAAAAAAAAAATAAAGATAAAATAAAAAAATGCCTACTTAGCAGTAGTAGGGCTTGAGCCATTTTCCATTGATGGGATCCGTTAGCATGCCTTCCTTAATAGAGATCAAGCGATAATAGCCACTGTTGTGTACTTCCTTGACTGCGAACGGACCTTCCCATTGCGGGGCAAACTTGGATGGTCCTGACATTTGTCTTCTCACATGCTCGACGACTTTTAGCACCAGATCTCCTTGCTTGAAAGCTTGAGGCTTAACGATCCTGTTATATGCTTGGGCAACAGTTTTGTGGTAGATGGCTATTTTTCTTTCGGCTTCCATTCTCTTTTCGTCCACTGCTTCAAGATCCAACAAACGTCAATACGAGCATGACTTTGCATCCCATTCAAGATCGTTAACAACTAACACTCTGGCCGTGGGAGTGGTGATTTCCACAGGTGAAATAGCGTCGGACCCATATACCAGTGAATAAGGTGAAAAACCTATAGTACTTCTAGGTGAGGTGCGGTAAGCCCACAAAGCATCCGGCAGGTGAATGCTCCAGCCGCCCTCATACTCATACACCATTTTGCTTAAAATCCTCAGTATTGTCTTATTAGTAGCTTCTGCTTGACCATTTCCCTGCGGGTAATAAGGTGTTGAGTGACGATGCTTGATTCCGTAACCACTAAGTGTTGAACTTACTTGCTTGTTAACAAAAGGCGTGCCATTGTCAGTAACCATCTTGTATGGAATTCCAAATCTTCATACAATATATTCCCAAATGAAATTTGAAACAGTGGCTCCCGTAGCCTTTCGGAGAGGAATTGCTTCGACCCATTTTGTGAAATATTCTGTAGCAGTAAGAATCCATATGTAACCGTCGGAAGGAGGATGAATTATCCCTATTAAGTCAAGCCCCCAAGTATGGAAAGGCCAAGGAGTGCGCATGTCCTGCAACAGTGTAGGAGGCTTGTGACTCAAATTGGCGTGGATTTGGCACGTGTGGCATTCTTAACAAAATCATGTGCATCCCTTTTCATAGTAGGCCAGTAATATCCAAAACTCAACAGCTGCCGGTGGAGCTTTTTCATTCCTTGATGCTCTCCGCATTCTCCAGCGTGTATTTCTTGCATGACTTAATGTGACTCCGTATTTCCTAAGCATCGTAGAGGTTCCCCATTAAATCCCTTTCGGTAAAGAATCGATCCGTCCACAAAATATCTCTTTACTGTGTTCTTAAGCTTATAGGCGAGCTTGGAATTGCTTGGCAGAGTCCTTTCAACAAAAAAATGCCAAATATGGAGCCCTCCAATCTTCTGTGAGTGAAATGGTAAAAGATTCCTCGGTAGTCGGTATTGTGGAACATTTGGGACAATTAGCCTGAACCTCAACCACTTGTTTCCTCATCTTTGGCCAAAAATAACCTTTACCCTACAGGCATCGATACAAGCTGATTACTGGCTCCAAACTGCAAGTAGCATCGTGCACTTCTTGCAGCCACCTTCTTGCTTCAACTATTCCTATGCATCGAGTCAAAACGCCTCTTGGAAGACCCCTGTAGAGTTCCCCAAAGATAACCACATAATCCTTCAAATCCTTAATACCACTCTCTTCACCCAACCTTTTGTTTAATGGTTTTCTCCAATCGTCCTATTCCAGCAGCTCCGCCTGGACCATTGCTTCGATAACCGGTGCGTCTTTCCTTATTACTGTAATATTGGGTTGCTCCTGCACAAATGAGAGCTTTGATCCCAACGTAGCCAAGGCATCAGCATACCTGTTGGTGACTCCCGGAATGTGCTCCATCACTATTTGCTTGAAGGAATTAATAAGCCTTTCAGCAGCTGTCCAATATGGTGCCAAGGTTACCTCCTTCACAGCAAAGCTTCCTTGCAATTGAGTTAGTACCAAATTAGAGTGGCCAATGATCTTCATCCTTTCTGCACCCATTTCCCTGGCAGTGGACAATCCCATAATAAAAGCCTCATACTCTGCCACATTATTTGTGCATGGAAAATCTAACTTGAATGAGAGAGCTGTAGCATGCCCATCGAGATTAATGAGCACTACACCTACTCCTCCACCCTTTGATGTAGAAGACCCATCAAAGTAGAGGGTCCATGGCTCCTCCTCCGTCACAGCAACCACCATTTCCGGCAGCTCCCCCAAAACCTCCTTAGAAAGAGTTGATCCTTCTACCTCGGGAAATAGAGCCAGCATGTCAATCACAGCTTGTCCCTTCATGGCCTTAGGAGTTGGGCACGTAATATCAAATTCAGATAGCTGCAGCAGCCAACGCGTAAGACGACCAGATATCATCGGCCTTGTGAGCAGATATCTCACAAGATCGGATTTTACTATAAGCTATAGCTTGTGAGCTAGGAAGTAGTGTCGCAAGCGCTGTGTTGCTAAGATATAGTGGGAGAGGCTCTTTATAGTTTATTTCAAAGTGTATAAGTATTGTGTTGGGGCTAAATATTCTATTCAATACTGTTGAGAAGACGGCATTTCGAACACCATATGGGAACTTTTATTATACCGTCATGCCATTTGGTCTTAAGAACGCTGGCGCCACCTACCATAGGGCCATGACGGCAGTGTTTCATGATATGATGGGGAGAGAAGTCGAGGATTATGTGGACGACTTGGTGGTAAAACCAAAAGATAGAGGAAGCCATCAGGAGGTTTTGAGACGGGTGTTGGAAAGGTGTCTACGGGTTAAAGATGAACCCAAAGAAATGTGCATTCGGAGTCTCATCAGGGCAAGTTCCTTGGTTTTCAAGTACATCAGCGTGGCATAGATGTGGATCCAAAAAAAAAACCAGAGCCATAAACTCTCTTGCACCACCTAGAAGCCCGAAAGAATTAAAAAGTTTAATGGGAAGGTTATCGTATATTCGACGCTTTATCCCAGGTCTTGCTGCCACCATGAGTATCTTTACTCCCTTACTCAAGAAGGGTAAGCCATACAAGTGGAGCAAGGAGTGCCAGGAGGCTTACCAGCAATTGTAGCAAATAATCACCAGGCTTCCCACCAGAGCACCCATTCCGGGACTTCCGCTTAAACTTTATTTGGCTGCAACAAACACAACAGTCGGGGCCTTGCTTGCCCAGGACAATCATAATGGAGACGAGAATCCCATTTACTAGCAGGCAATTAAGAGGAGCAGAAACGAGATACCCGAAGACCAAGCTCTTGTGTCTTGCTCTTGTCTAATATCCGAGCCGCTTTGCTTTTCTGTATAATCGTCGAAAGGAACATCCCCATCGTGGTCATAATTGTCATTCCCATCGGGACCCTCATGCATGTCACCGATGTTATCCGTATCCTCTTGCTCTAGAGTACTAGCCTCGGACTCAGTAGTGCCACCATCATCGCTGTCATCATCAATTGTCACCACAGTTCTAGTTCCAAAGGCTTTGCTGCAGCTTGTACTGGCCCCAGTGAATTTTGCTTGCAAGACACGCATGCTGCGACGTTTTGGAGTAGCTTGTGGGACACGGAGGGTGTGCTACTTCTTCTCCTCTTTGGAGTGGTACCGATTTTCCCTATATATATATTTTTTTAAAAACACATGCGACAGGTTAAAAAAAATATAAAATAAAAAGAGGTGCGGTAAAAAAAAATTTTAAGAGGGGTAGTTTCTAGCACCTTGCCAGCATGACCCCGGCTCTCGGATGCAGCAGGCTTTGAAGACTGTGGACGTTATGGGGGAGTTCCTTCTTTGGTTTGAGGAGGGCCACTTGGGGCTACCTTTGGAATAAACCTTTTGGGTTTACGGGCAATCTGCTTCTCCTTCACATTCTGCTCCTCCTCTCGCTTCCATTCACCTGACACTAGTGTTGCATTTTTCCCGGAACCACAAGGACTCTGTACTCCCGGCTTTGGCTTTGTCTTAGGAAATTCTCCAACGATATCACCGCTCTTGGAAATAAAAGGCAAATTGCGTTTTTGGCTTAGAGGGATGGCTTTCTCTTCCAACACCAAGCCGGCAAGATGAGCTGTTGTAGGAAGCAATCTATCTCCAGGAAAAGATTGGAATTCACGCAAGGAGGCGAGGCAGCAGTTCCAGTAAGCTTGGTAACCTCGGGAGAAGCCACCAATCCTCCTCTTGCTAGCTAAAACAAGGGGCCTACAACACTTTGGTATAGGGTCATTGCTCTAGAAGACTCTGTGCAGCACGAAGGGGTCAGCATGGTTAGGACTGCTCGGTACTCCTTGATCAAGCCCAAACTGCCGCCTAACCCGATAAGGTGAGTAAGGTACAGAAATCTCCGAGCGACTGTCTCCAAGAGTAAGCAGCGGAATAGGAGTAACATTCAACATGGCATACTTTTTGAACTGGCTGCTTTGCGACATGGCCGCTGGAACCTCAACGGTGTCACTGACATCAGCATAAAAGGGCACGAAGGTGAAGGTCTCTGCCGAGGTGCCGTAAGGGCGAAAGACAAAGTTCTTAACGTTATCCAACAGCTTCAGAAAGTCCTGACCTTTCCTTTGCATTAGCTTAAACCATCTGTAGACTAAGGGAAGACTTTCCGGCATATAAGAACCCCTGCCCCAATCGGCCATCTTCATAGCATACGAGTGAGGGAGTGAGTGTACCTCCAATCCTCTAAAACGCTCCCATAAAAATACCTGCAGGAAACCAGAATTCAAGAGGGTCTCCACACCCGTACAGAAGTGCTGCCCTTTGGCTCGGCAATATGGAACCTCTCAACAACTCCCGTTCCTTTATGAGGTCGTATTGGGATAGGTAGGCCCAATCCTTTCCCCTCCCTCTCCCTCTCCCTTTGGTCGAGCTAGTTTACTCCCTCTATAAGACCCTATTTATCTTTTCCCCTCGAGAGCGTTCCTGCGCCACATCCGTAGCTCACTCTCTCCCTTGCAATTGGAATCTTGTAAAATCAAGGATTTTCTCAAACATTGCATTCAAGATAAGAAACAAGAAATACTAACCTGAATACTATTCCTTTCTTACGTTCGACTCCTGTAAGGGAGTCTCACTCTCTTTCAGTTTATTATAAGGGTTACTTATTCTTGTTCTAGTACTCCTTAATACCGTTCGGCTCCTGTCGGGGAGCCTCACTAGCTTACAAGTTTTTCAAGGAGTTATTCTTAGGATAGTTAGCCGGAATACTATTCCTTTCTACCGTTCGACTCCTGTAAAGGAGTCTCACTCCCATTCTGATTACTTAAAGCTATATATTCATTTTGACAACGGCAATACACAATGGGTCATTCACCCACTCCCGCTTGGGCGTCCCTCCCACCTACGCTTTTTGAGCTAATGAAAATATAATGTATTTATGCTAATGTGTCTAACAGTACATCTCCTATTGAAATACCGTTCGGCTCCTGTCAGGGAGCCTCACTACCGTTCCATTTACTCTTCATATGAGGATGTTGTAGTTACCGTTCCTACATTTCTTTCCTTCGATTGAAGTATCGTTTGGCTCCTATCGGGGAGCCTTACTGATAGGAGCATATTTATGCGACCTTGCTATCTTATTTCTTTGAATTTACTTAGTTAATTCTCATTTATTCTTATTTTCGTATTATTGTAGGTCCAAATGGCAAGATTGGCAAGAAAGGGCATTTTGGAGTATTTTAGAGCAGTTTTGGACTTGGAATGGATAGCATACGCATGGGGCAAGATGGATGGACGTTTTTGAAGTTCAAAGAGGCTAGGAATGTGCTAAAGGATGGGGAAATTAATTCAAGAATCGGCTTCTGGGAAGAAACAACCCTAACTGATTTTATTTTATTAAGGGGGGGGGGATTATTTTCATATTAGGAAACCTAAAAACTTGGTTCTAGAAGAAAGCATTGGGCCACACCTCTTTCCTAGAAAGGTGGCGCCTAGGCCCTATCCTTGTTCCTAAAGAAATCTGCCAAACAAAACCCTAATTTCTCTTTTACCCTAGATTTACCACATATATAAAGGAGGGGTTGCCGCAGGACAAAGGAGTTTTTGGGTGCCGTAGCGAGAAGGAGAAAGAGAGAAGAAGAACTTGGAGCCGGAACCTGCTGCATCCATTGGGGTTTTTCAGAGTTCTTCCCTTGATTAGTTTAAATGTTTATTCTAGATTGCTTTTCAATTATTATGAGCAAGTGTGACTGAATTTCTTCTTAGTTAGAGGTGAATTCGAAGCCATGGATATATGTTTTATATGAATTGATTACTTCCAGTTATGCTTTCATAAAGTATGAATGTGATTTACTTTTCTGTTTTATTGAGGACTTATTCTTGTATGTTTATTAAGGATGCATACTTAGTTTGTATGCAGGGATTTGATGCTAATTCCCTCCAATCATTGTTTCCTTAAACCCCTAAATAGGAAAGTTGTGCGTGGCAAATGGAACAGTTCATCAAGCCATTTCTCGCCTCAAACCCCTAAATAGGAAGAGGGGTACTTTAGAAATAGGGGCTAATTGCTTTGCACCTGACTATGATAGCCCTCTCGATACCTCATTGGAGCTTTGTAACTAGTGGCCGGTTTCCCGTTGCTAGAGCGTTTTCCCTATGCACGGAGCCCCAACGAGGAAGGTGTTAGTGGTTTATCATTGGGTCAATAATGCTAATCCCTCTTTTTGTGCTACTCCTAGGGCGAGAAGAAGATAAGAAAATGCGAAGCGTTCTCTCCCAACTTGTTTATTTCTAAAGGCTACCCTCTCTCGGCTGGATGTTGGTCCAGCCTACTACAAGGATCCCGTATCCAACAACCCAACCTTAAAAAAGGGCATAAAAGTCCCTTGTCTAGGTTGGAGCTATGAAGCTTCCCTTATTATTATTATGAAAAGGTTGTTTACTTCCTTACTTGTTTTGTTAGAGTAAGGTAGCTTGCTTACTTAGTGCTTGCACTAAGGGGAAGGGGCTTTATCGGCTAGTGCGCAGGAGCGCACTTCCGTTTTCCCTTTACTAGTAGGGGGTCCCGTGGTTCCTATGCCACCTCGTTTCCAAGTCCTTTTCTTTTAGTGCTTCGACCCAAAGCGATAGGGTCGAAGCATCTCTTTTCTTTTCTCATTTCCCGTGGTTCCTATCCATTATTTTTTTCATCTCTTTATTTTGCTATTTTCTATGCATCTATTTACTTGAGTGTTTGGGTCTTCATTTTGGTTCTATCTTTTCTTGTTTGGTTTTTTGCATGGGGGGTGGGCAAGCACTTCCTCTTCCGGCGTCGTCCTCCGCCCATCGAGCTCGTCCATGCTCCTGTCTATACTGCAGCTTTCACTCTACCAATTGAATCCTCATCTATATTTTGATATGAACCTAAACCAGTAACTGAATTCTTACTACACGAAGGAGGAATCTAAGAGCATGAGGGCTAACAACGAGAAGGTGAGGTCGTCTCTCCTTCTTTTGTTGGATTGAAAAGGCTTGCCTACCCTTTATTATTGGTCAAGCTGTTTCACTCCTTTAAAGTAGACTATATATAAGGACGTGGGTCCACTAAAGCTAAATAAAGAATCTGCATGGACGTCTGCCTGTCTACTTTAAAAAGTAAGTTAGGCACGAATGGTATACTCTTCTTATATTCAAAACTAGCTTAATTAATCTGAAACTAGCCCTATGCTTTCCTTATCATCTGTAACTAGCTATCGTAGACTGAAAGCCTCGTAAACTGGATAAATAGGCTATCACAGAGGTAAGGAGGTCTAAGCCTATCGGTTAATATTAATCTTTCTTCCCTCCAAATAAGCCAATCTAGGGCCAGTTCCTTAGTTTCAGGAAGTCAAGCAGGAGTGACTAGCCTTCCTTCAAAAGCCAGATGGGTGCCTTCACCTCTGTAATAACCTTTATCTCGAAAGAGATTATTAAGGCAAGGCTCTTTCTCATTGACCATTAATTCTGTAAAAAAGGAGCATAGCGGCGGGCCCACTCTTTTTCACCTTAAGAAAATTTACTTATAGGCTGTGTTTCTGGGCCCTATGATGGACCTTTAGAATAAATAGGGAAGGGCTTTGAATTAAGCCCGATGTGTGAGACTTAGGATCCAATACGACTTGAGTCCATAAGGATTATGACTAGACCCAAGTTATAGCAATTGTGTGCAATTCTAAGCCATTCTGAGAGTCATTGGACCCCACGGAGCGATTTATGGATTCAACCCATCCCCTTTTCTGGGCCTTGAATTAAGCCCATCTGTGGTTTTGTCATATAATAAGATCCAATTTGTTTGGACTCGTTAGGTTTGGCCTATTACCTTGAGTGAGGCCTAACATGTACACCTCTTGTCATGAGGATGTGATCTTATCCACCGATGGGTCTTATATTCTAAGCCCAATCCTCTCGTCTTAGGGTAGGATATCCATATACCTTAAATCGCCGGAACTTCTCCTTTTTGGTTGACAACCTATGTTGGGCTAGCACATGAACACTCTCTCGGTACTTAAGGAGTAATTCCAAATAACACGACTCCAATCCCATAATACCGACGTCTAAAAGACGAGATATCTAACCTGAACGTTACAAAAGACGACGTCGTCTTAACTTTACCACGTCGCATGTTATTTCATAAACGAAGTGGAAAAGGATGAATTCACGACGGTATTTTAAATCCATTGGTAAATTTGTCGACGTTAAGATATATTTGGACGTCGTTCCTTTACAAAAACGACGTTATATGAATGTATCCACGTCTCTTTTCTTATGATAATGTCGTTAAAATTTCTTTACACGGGAAATATCGGATTAACAACGCCGTCTAATAGGAATTAGATGACGGTAATTTTGTTAATGATGACGTATAAATTATGAAACACGGCTGTCTTTTGCATGATAACGACGTTGTATATTGACGACAACGTCATCTTTATAAATTAATGTGTCGTAAGTAATGACCCCCACATATTTTCCACGTCGTTTATTTTAAGATCGTGTCGTTAAAACTATTTTACACGGCGGTGGACTGAGAAACGTTGTCGTCTCAGATCCATTAGACGACGATTATATTTTAAGAGATGACGTATAAATTCTGTAATACGGCTCTCATTTATTTGGAACCGACGTTGTTTATTAGTACAACGTCGTCAGTTTAAATACATGCGTCGTAAGTAATGACCATCTATTTCCACGTCATCATTAATAGAAAAATCGAAGTGGAAAATTCATTTCACGACGGTTGTTGAAAATGTACTGACGTAGTAGGAGTCAATAACGTCGTCGATTATGTATTTAAAGACGTCATATTTTTATTTGTCGTGAAAGGTATATTTAACGGCGGTGAGTTTTAGTTCTCGTCGTTGTATGTATATCTTGCGGCCATGTTCTGTTAATATATGTCATATGTTTCCTTTTTAACGACGTTTTTTGTTAGAATTGGTCGTCTATTCTCATCCTCGACTGTTTTTTTTATCTCTTTTTCCATTACAAAGACGTCGGTTATTACTTATTAATGACGTTGTTTGTTTTAACAACGACGGTGATTTAGCGTCGTGGTTTGACACCCAAATAGATGTCGGTCGATTCCACGACGGTTTGAAAACCGAATACACGACGGTGAATTCCCGTCGTCTTTTTCCTTTTTTGTAGTAGTGAGAAGAAAAAAGGTAGACAAGATAGAAAAAGA